AATGTTAAAACGTACATCAACCGATCACTTGTTAAGCGTTTATGCAAACACTACATTCAGATTCACCAATCGGAATGAATTCAGTTAGATTGAAACAAAAGCATGAATAAATATATATAAAAATAAATACATTTGGGAAAATATACAATTATACATAAATAGGGAAATAAAAGTATAAATAGTCTTTATTTTTGTTTTGTTTTTTACATTTCTTCCCATATTAATTTTTTTTTTTTTTGTGATCAACTCTTTATTGTCTTTAGAAACAAAGATAAAACAAACATCTACAAAAAAAATAAAAGACAGGGAAGGGGGTAACAACAAACACATCAAGAAATGTATAGTTTGACAGAACATAACATAAGAAAAAAAAAAAAAAATATATATATATATATATATATGAAGAGTTCAGATGCAAAAGCCTCTAAATGCCATTTAAAATTTCCTTCTTTAATGATGATTTTTATCAAACTTGTATATTTAAGTTCAGTAATTTCACTTAAATAACAATTAATAGGTAATTATCATTGCCATTTAAGTGAAATTACTGAACTTAAATATACAAGCTTGATAAAAATTATCATTCTAGAAGAACATTTCAAATGGCATTTAGAGGCTTTTGCATCTGAACTCTTCATATATATATATGTGTAAATAAAAAGCAAAATAAAATAAGAAATCTTTATACAATCATTCCTTTATATAATCCAAATTTTTTGAAGAAAAACATTGCCATGCACCAACGGTACTGGGTTTAGCCTTATTAATTCGTGCTGTTGTACATTCACAAGTCACTATTTTGTTGAGGCTATGAATCCAATATGTTAATTTATTAATTTTTATAGGTTTGGTCCGCCATACTTGAGATCAGGGGAGTGAGGTTTACACACACAGCTATTACTGGCCTACGTTACATTAACCCCGCTTTCTATATTAGAAGTGTGAAACGTCCCTTCCCCATGGTTTAACATCCTTTACAATGTTTAATAAACAGAGGCAGTTACTGATTGTATCCTCTATGCTTGTCATGCTGGATTTCCTTTTACCCTCAAGTTAGCTCAAGGCTTCCATTTATCGTAAAATACCGTAAGACATCTCGTTAGGCGATTATGGCTTCGTAAGGCATGTGGTTTGTGACCTGTAACTAATGGCTGATGAAACGGCCAGAGCCGATCGGTCTCGGACTGGCACACTCGCTGCATTCGCCCACTCTCTGCCCTTTCACCCACTCAGCACACTTATGGATCCACTTCTCCGCTCCGCTTTTCATGTGCTGGTCTCTCTCTGTGATCACATGGTCGGTTACTCAGACTGATTTCATCTCCTCTCTGCCTTATGTTCTCACAAGGTCCTCTAATTCACCTGTTTTATTTGATTACAGTTCAAAATTACCATTTTGCACAAAACTGTTAACTTAGTACTTGACTGGAATCCTTTGTTAAATTTCTTTTCCTTTTTCTGAATTTCATCTTACTTATTGGCAATAAAAATATCAGCATCTGCAGGGCCGGATTAATCATTAGGGCAACTGGGCAACTTGCCCAGGGGCCCACGACATCTAAGGGGCCCTGGACACCAGTGGCAATCGGGAGAGTCGGGAGTTTCCCCGGTGGGCCGGTAGTGTTTCGAGGCCGCGAGGGACGGTTTGATAAAACGGAACGTATGTTTGCACTAAGTGCCTGTCTTTTATGAAAAAAGGCGCCAGTCACGTCACAGCTGCAGTGGCATAGGTCGTAGCGCGCAAAGCGCGTGAATCAGGTTTTGTTGCGCTCGACGCAAGTTCGAATCCGCCTTTTGCCGAAGTCTCTTCTCCCTTTTCCCAACACATATGAGATGTAAAATGAATAACCTAACATAGGTCTCTAGTAGTGATGGGCGGATCGATCCTGAAGTATCGATCCTCACATAAAAATATCGATCCAAATGTGTATTTTTTTAACCAGTAATTTTTTATTAATTTAGCATGCGAATCAGTCCGGAAAATAAGCTTCTAAGTGGAAAAATAAGCGAATGTTAGCGGGTAATTGTGTAGGATAGAACCTTTCCTGCTAGTCATCTGTATACAAGACGAAACCAATCAATCACAGAGAGCGTTCGATGCTGGTGCTTCGCTGAGCTCACAGGCCCAGTGTGTTTGGGAAACGAAGCCTTGCTTAGATGACAGAGAAACAATCGAGTTATTTCGCAATAAACAAACCAAAACTGTACATAACGGTTTAAAATGTTGATGTCAGTAAGATCTTTTTTATGAAATTAATATTTTTATTTAACAAGGATCGATGCATTAAATTGATCAAAAGTGAAAGTCAAGGGTTTTACACTGTTAAAAAAAATCTATTTCATATACAGTAAATGCCATTCTTTCAACTTTGTTCATCAAATAATTCTGCATAAAATGTATCATGGTTTCCAACAAAATATGAAACAGTTTTCAAAATTGATAATAATAAGAAATGTTTCCTGAGTAGCAAATCAGCATATTAAAATGAATTATCATCATGACTGGAGTAACGATGCCGAAAATTCTGCTTTGATCACATGAATAAATTGCAGTTTACTATGGCATAAAAAAACAGATAGCCTATGTTAAATTGTTAAATTGTAATATTACAGTTTTTACTAAGAGAAATAAAAATCTTAAAGACCCCAAACTTTTGAACAGTAGACTAGTACTAGTAGGCTAGTATTATAATTAGGGTAGTTTTGTAAAAGTCACTGACTAATTAAAGGGGAGTTGAGAGCACAAATCACAAAATAGCTATTTAGGCCTAGTAGTCATGGAAACGTGTTCAGATTTAACAAGAAAAAAGTACCGGTATCGATATCGGCGATACTGGCCCTGAATTCACTTGGTATCGGATCGATACAGAAATTTGCAGTATCGCCCATCACTAGTCTCTAGCGTTATATTTTGCCAACGAGCTAAAATCGAAACCATGATATGGATTTTTGCCTTTATAAAAGAGCACAAGACTTTAAGAATAGGCATCCTGTTAGTGCTGGGTGAATTAAAGTGTGCACTTTGCTCACGCGATCAGGATGGTCATCTGGTGTTTTCTCCTAAATACAAGCTAAAGGGTTTATTTCTTGCAAGTGAAGAAATAAGGACAAAAGTATTTTAATTTTCCTATATTAGTGTAATGTAGACTAAAATATAGGCTACTTTTGAAATATTAATTTTCATTTATAAGCTTTATGGATTTTACGTCATAGGAATAATTATATAAATCATTATTACATTATTATAATAATTGTTTGTGATCCTAAAACACCATTGATAATGTTATGTAAACTGAGACTCAACTAAAAAGATGTTTGAGCCCTGTTTATTGTCCTGGTACAAATCAATGCGTTTTCTTTGTTCAACGAGCAGTTCATGGGTTGAAGCTCTTAATTTTGATCTCTCAAAGCGCACGAGATTGATGCATTTAACCATAAAATGTAAAAATTTCTTGCGGGGAGCATGCCCCCGATCCCCCCCTAGAGGAACAGTAAATCAGTAAAACTGTAAATGCTAAATTAAGGGTCCACCCAACATACTTTTACATATTCCTATAGGAAAGAACAACCATTTATGAACTTTACTCCAGAATAGTTCAACAAAGTTAAGTCAGTAAAAACTGTAAATGTCGTATTAAAATATACATTTGGCCTGCTTAACTCTTTCCCCGCCAGCGTTTAAAAAAAAAGTTGCCAGCCACCGCCAGGGTTTTTGACGATTTTCGCTAAATTTGAATGCCCCGCTGAATATTTTCTTCTATGAATATATGAAGATGATATATATAAAAATAAAGATCTGAGCCTCTGCTTTTAGGCAAAAAAAAAACGTTTTTATTTTATCTTCATTTGTTCTTTTTTTATTGCCTCTTGAACAGAGGTAGGTTTTGTCAAAAACACAACATTTTGGACAAAAAACTGAGAAAAAGGTATTTTTATCAAACAAGTGCATTTTAAAGCAGAATACATTCAGATGTTGTTTCCTTCATATATAAAACTTTCCAAAATAAATTAAAAACATAAAATAAATGTAAAATATATCAAATTTCCCAGGATGTAAGGGAAATGTAACTTTTGCAATAAAACTTCTGCCTCTGCCTCTCTGTGTTCTACCTGTGAATAATGAATAATTGGAATTACAATAAACAGGCCTAGACACACACACACACACAAATACATATTACAATGTGGTAAATGTGCACAAAGAGAGAAATAATTTGACAATTACACCTTCATATTTAGACAGCCACACATAAATGCCTGCACACACACATACATATTATAGTGTCATAATATTATACGATCTATCTGCGGCACGTCCATGGCTAGAACTTTCTGTGACAACATGTGCATCTCTCTCACTGACTACTTCGTCCCGATCAGATTCAGAATGATCAAATAAAGAGTGATCGGACTCCGAGTCCATTAACCTCCAGTACTTCAGCCATATACCTCTGCATTGTCTGTCTGATACATTCTCACTACTCCACTGTTTGAGACGATTGCAATCTGTTTCTCTAAACAAAGAGTTGCGCACTCATTCAGGACATGCGCGCGGGTCTTCCTTACCGTATACCACCTAAAACACGGATACCCGGAAAATTCCGTGTTTGGCGCAGATGCGTTTTTTCATTAAACCCGGAAAATTCCGTGTTTGGCGGGGAAAGAGTTAAGAGGGGGCCTACAAGACATTGTGCCCAGGGCCCTCTGAACTCTTAATCCAGCCCTGAGCATCTGCACCAAATTGCATATCTTTGCTCAATTTCAGTGTCAGTTTTTTTAAAATAGTTTTTTTATTCGTTAGATTATCAAAATGTTCTTCACATTAAGAAAAAATGGTGATGCCTGAAAGGATCTTTGGGGAACCGAAAAATGGTTCAGAGAAAATCTCCTTTATTTTTTAAGAGTGTGTGCTAAATAATAGACGCATTGTTTCTGTTCTTTCTGATAGACATGGACACAGAGAAACTAAAGTGCTATTTTAACCATTCATGACCCTGCAGGAGTACCACGCTCAGCTGGAGGAAATGCGAGTGTCTATTCGTCAGCTGGAAGAGAACCTGTCCGCTGCTCGCCGTCGCAGTGACCTGTACGAATCTGAGCTGAAAGAGTCTCGTCAGACCAGCGAGGAGCTCAAGAGGAAGGCTGTGGAATACCAGCAGAAGATTCAGAAGGTTTGTTCAAGTTCAAAACAGCTGATGCACGCCAGACGAAGTTTGATCAGTGTATATTCTTCTGTTTTTTTAGGCTAAAGAACAAGGCAAAGCTGAGATGGAGGAGCTTCTGACCAAATTACAGAAGGTACATCCAGTCCCACATCACCAATAACAACTCATTATTTCAAATTCCAGTTGACTTTTGCAGACAAACTGTTGAGAAGACCAACATACAGTATTTGTGACTAGTGTAACCAACAATATAGCACGAACCAGAATTAATTAGTCTGGCCCTGAAATTCATTCTGTTTTTCATCAAATTGCTAATGCAGCTGTTTTTGTATTTAAGCTTCTTTTTTTGTAAATGTCTCAGACCAATGCAGAGCAACAAGCAAAGACGGAAGAACTCCAGGAGAAGCTTGCCAAGGTACCGTGAACATGTATTTATAAATTCAGCCCTGCTTGAAGATCTGAAACATTTGTTTGATTTGTTTTAAATTAATATTCAGGTATATGGTATGGTCAACCATTCTTTCCTATTTTCTGATTAATATTAAAGGGTTAGTTCACCCAAAAATGAAAATTCTGTCAGTATTTACTCACCCTCATGTTGTTCCAACCCCGTAAGACCTTCGTTCATCTTCGCAACACAAATTAAGATATTTAAGATATTAAGATTGCTCCTGTATACTAGTCCATAGGCTTCTAGAGGGAATGACTTGCTAGCCTCGAAAAGTCATTAAAGACATCGTTAAAATAGTCCAAGTGACTACAGGGGCTCAATTTCAACTTTATCAAACGACGAGAACACTTTTTGTGCGCAAAAACAAACAAAAATAACAACTTTATTTCAACTATTCACTTCCTTCTCTATGGGCCTGTAGTCAGTTAACGTAGTGTGATTGCGTAGAGTCACACGTAAGCTCACTATTGGCCGACGCTGGTCATGTGTGTGATGCGTGTGACGTACAATAACAGAAGCTTACACTATTAAACTAGTAACCTGACTCGAGGCAGAGGGAGAAATAAACGAATAGTTGAAATAAAGTCGTTATTTTTGTTGTTTTTTTGCGCACAAAACGTGTTCTCGTCGTTTGATAAAGTTAAAATTGAGCCCCTGTAGTCACTTGGACTATTTTAACGATGTCTTTAATGACTTTTCGAGGACAGCAAGTGTCATTCCCTCAAGAAGCCTATGGACTAGTATACAGGAGCAATCTTAATATCTTAAATATCTTAATTTGTGTTGCGAAGATGAACGAAGGTCTTACGGGGTTGGAACAACATGAGGGTGAGTAAATACTGACAGAATTTTCATTTTTGGGTGAACTAACCCTTTAAGTTAACCTAAATGTTTTTACTGGAGCTTTTTTAGAACAGGTTTGACCTGGCATCTTCCTTGTCTTCCAGGCCGTGAAGGCGAGCACCGAAGCCACGGATCTCCTGCAGAACGTACGTCATGCTAAAGAGCGTCTGGAGCGAGACCTGGAGCGTCTGCAGACTAAAGAGGACTCCACCGACAGCCTGCGCAGACGCCTGCGAGAGACTGAGGTCACAGCAACTCCCGCCACCTCATTTTCACCATCTACAAATATCATGATTATCACTGGATTAGATTCATCTTTGTTATTATTATACTGAGATGATGAGTAGGAAACAATACCTGTAGGTCAAACATCAGAGAGTGATGCTAGTAGGTTATGGGTTTGATTCACAGTTGCACAATATCCCCTAATATGGATCTAAAACCCATAATAAATTCATATATTCATAGCAAATGAGATCTATAAACCATGAACAAACTCCATGAAATCAGTCCCAAAGTTGGGAGAAGTTTCTATTTTTTTTTTTAAATCGATGGGACCAGATTATTTATACCAGTTGCTGAATAGTCCCTTCCAGAATGACACACGAGTCTTTAATACTTAATGAAGATCCAACAACATGTTCATTTTGTTAAAATCCTTTATCCCTGATGCATGAGTTATTAGTTTTTAACCCTGTGAGAAATTTTTTATTTACTTAAACTCAAACCAAATACAGTTTTAAGGCCCGTTTACGCCAAGAGTGATAAGTTGTTCACACCAGCGGATAATATCATTCTGTTTATGCTAAGCATGCTTTTGTCGCCTTGAAATGCTCTAGCTCTTTAAAGCAGGAAGGATTCTGATTGGCTGTCAATGTTTTTATCATTTATCAACTGGAAAATAATCATCCTGATATGGAAGCTTGTTTCCACTACAGAATGAAAAAAAAAAAAAAAAAAAGGTAATTGCGACTTTTTATCTCACAATTCTGACTTTTTTTCTCAGAATTGCAAGGTTACATCTCGTAATTATGACTTTATTTCTCAGAATTGCGAGATATAAAGTCAGAATTGCGAGATATAAAGTCAGAATTGCGTCATATAAAGTCAGAATTGCGAGATATAAAGTCAGAATTGCGTTATATAAAGTCGCAATTGCAGGTTATAAAGTCAGAATTGCGAGATATAAAGTCAGAATTGCATGATATAAAGTCGCAATTGCAGGTTAGAAAGTCAGAATTGCGTGATATAAAGTCGAAATATTGTGTTATAAAGTCAGAATTGCGAGATAAAGTCAGAATTGCGTGATATAAAGTCGCAATTGCAGGTTATAAAGTCAGAATTGCGTGATATAAAGTCGAAATATTGTGTTATAAAGTCAGAATTGCGTGATATAAAGTCGAAATAGTGTGTTATAAAGTCAGAATTGTGAGATATAAACTATTCTGAGGGGAAAAAGTTAGTATTTTTTTCCTTAGAATTGGCCTGATAACTCGCAATTGCGAGTTTCTATCTCACAATTCTGAGAAAAGATGTCAGAATTTCGAGATATAACTCACAATTATGTGTTAAAGTCAGAACTGTGAGATGTGAGACTGTGAGATTCTTAAATTTCCCATGGGATGAATAAAGTATCAAACAAACAAACAAACAAACAAATGTAAACTCACAATTGTGAGAAAAAAAGTCAAAATTGTGAGATAAAAAGTCTCATTCTGTCTTTTTTCTCGCATTTGCGACTTTATTTCTCAGAAATGTGACTTTATATCTCGCAATTGCAAGATAAAAAGTCGCCATTATTATTATTATTTTTTTATTCAGTGGCGGAAACAAGCTTCCATATCATGAAAGTAATTCCTACGATATAGTTGTGGTATGAACTCTGCTATTCTTTTATATTTTAAATGATTGTACAATTGTTATCACTATAGTTTAACTATACAGGTGAAACTCGAAGAATAAGTATATTGTGCAAAAGTTATATTGTGTCATTCAAATTAAAAGGTGAAACTAATATATTTAGTATATATAACTTTATACATATGTATGATTATACTTTGACATTTCAATCCTTTTTTTTATTGATTTCATGTTATATTCTAATTTTCTGAGATTTGGAATTTGAGGTTTTCATAAGCTGTAACCCATAATCATCAAAATTATAACTTTTGCACGATATTCTAATGTTTCGAGTTTCACCTGTTTTCATCATTGGTGTGAACAACGGGCCTTTAGAGTTTTTAGCAAAAATAGATTTAAAAAAAAAATCAGATATAGGTCCACAATAGCCACAGAAGCTGGCATGGCGTTAACAAACATACAAACAAACATATTTTCAGGGATGAAAAAAAAATGTAGATCTTGAATGCAATCCTTGTCGCTTTGGAATGCAAAAATGGAAATATAAAAACTCAATTCACCCATTGCAATCCATTGTTGCTGATGTTTAGCCTCAATATTTTGATGTAAATTTCCATTTTATCAATGGAACTAAATATTGTTAATATCTAAACGACCAAATTCTGATCTACTGTAACTATTAAATGTGATTTTGTTAATGCAACTTGAACTTTATGTATTTATGTTGATTCGGTGATGCCAAGTAATGTTTTTGACTAATTCATTTAGTTGTTTTCACACATAGCACTTTTTTAAGTATGAGCTGTTATCAATATGAGATATTTATTGGGGTTTTTTTCTGGATGGATGAAACAGGATGGCAGGAAAACCCTGGAGAACCAGGTGAAGAGACTGGAGATTGTGGAACGGAGAGAAACTAAACTGAAAGAAGACATTCAGACCAAGTCACAGCAGATCCAACAGATGGCCGATAAAATCATGGTAAGACTGAGACTCGAGCGAGTGCTGAACTCCTGCTGATTTACACATACTGTATCTAAAACACACACACAAACAAACAGGTAAACACTGGAGCGATGAGGACGCCACATGTCGATGAGATGGAGGTGTCACGTGCTTGCAGTCAAGCTACTTAATTAAGACGCGTAACACTCATTAGTCACGCGCGATACACCTCCTCAAACACTCGCGGTTGCGTTAAACACACACTTTCTGCCTTTATTCGTTTTTCTTCAACCTGCTTAGCCTGGCAGTTACACTGCTGCTTTTCCTCAGCTCCCAGCATGCTCTCTGGCCCTGTCATGGCTCCAAAAGTGACAGATTGCAGGAGTGGATCATCTCAGTCTTTGGCCATGATCATGTGTGTCACAATGACGATGTGTTTTAACTGTGCATTATTGATTTAGTCCTGATTAAATAGGGCTTAGAAACGAAATGCCACATTTTAAGTTCATCTGGAAACCAGTTACTAAAACTATTTTTATATCGTTTTCATTCATTGAAATAAAGCTGACATAATAAAAATATGAATATTAGATGGAAAAACTTCAACTGAAATAAATAAGTACTACAAAATAGCAAAAATAAAAATTATTAATGGTTTGGAATTTTTTTTTATTATTGTGTAAAGGTTCAATAAATTGTTCAATTAAAATAAAAATAGATTCTGACTATTATTTCATGTCATGCACTGTTACATAAAAGCATATGCTACTTTGTCCATATAATCTTGAAAATAAATATGAATAAAAACGTAAAAATTACATGGAAAATATCAGCTTAATTTATTTATTTATTTATATTTTTTCTGTTTTGATTGTGTTTTGTTGACGTTTTGTTCCTTTTTTTTGTTGTTTTTGTTTTCTTGTGGAAAAATAATGAAAATAAAGAATATATATATATAAAAAAGGAAAATATCAGCTTAAAAAAATGTTGGCTAACTGAAATAAGTTTAAGTACTAAAACGACTTAAACTGAAATAAACACATTAAAGTACTAAAATTAGTCTACTTAAATTACAGCTAAACTATACATATACTGTATATATATTTTAAATATAATAAAAATGACAAACACATAACAAAATTACTAAAATGGGAACTATTTTGTATTATTTTAAGTTATGTAATAAAAATTAAAATAACAAAATTACTAAAAATATAAAATAAATGCTAATTGAATGCTAATTGTTAAATGCTAATTACAAAAAAAAAAACACTGCTGTAGACCCGTTAAGGAAATATGTTAACAATTTAAAAAGTATCTATTGGTTTTCCTACGCATCAGCATTGACCAAGATTACTTTGACTCTCTCACTTTTCTTTTTATTTCTCCTTTTAGGAGAAACATCTTAGACAAGGCAATGCTCGCAGTAGATGAAACATAACTGAGACTCGTGAGCAATAAAATGCTCCTCTGTTGTCTGTCTGTTCACAGGAACTGGAAGAGAACTTGCGTGACACGCAAGCAACAGCTCAGCGAATGGAAGCACACCTGGAACAGAAGGAAAGGCTTTACGAAGACAAGATCAAGGTCGGCCCCACACACTGACAAATATGAGTGATGTTTCACAGAGTCAACAGAGCGGTTTACCTCCATCGTGGCATTTGCACAGGACTAATACTCCAGCTTTAGAGCGCGTTATTAAATTTAAAACTGACTCATGTTTGTCTTTGGATTCAGATTAAGCTTTTAAAGGCCTCATTTTGAAGATATTCTCTGTTCATTTGTCAGGCGTACAGTAATAACCCAGTGCTGTGTGTTTTGTAGGTGTTAGAGACTCAAATGAAGGCTGATTTGGCTGAAAAGGAATTGCTGGAGTCCAAGCAGAGCGCTTTTGAGGAGGAGGCTCGCGAGCGGGGAAAAGTGATCAGTGACCAGACAGCGGTACCACACGTTATTTTGCTTTTCCTGAGAGTCGAGTGTATTTGAGTTGGGGAATGACAAAGTGTGACACATTAACACTGATCCTTGTGCAAGACGGTCATTCTAAGTGAGCGCTTTCCTTCTAGTAAATCAGTCAATTTACATGAAAGCATTCGCAAAATACTTATTTCTGTAGTTGGTAGAAATAACAGTAAAATGTATTGTTTTTAATATTTGAAAATATATTTTTTTTTATTTCTAGAGCAAACGTCCCAAAGTGCTTTACATCTAAATTTATAAAAGATAACAAAACAAGAGTGACAGACATTAAAAACACACCATCAGATAAAATTAAATGATATTAAATAAATTTAATGCAGCGTTTTACCATCTGCCTGTTTGTAATCTTACAGTAAATAATAAATTAAAACGTTTGCATGTAGCGATCACATATTTTTCTGTTAAACTTTGCTTTAAAAAGGTCAAGTGAAAAGTTGGTAATAAACTGAAAGACTCAGAGACTTATTCATCGAATTGGTCTCGTGCCAGTGTTATTTTAGCATCATTGAGATAATATTATAGTTTGAATTCGTTTCTATTTTTTTAAAGTTTTTGTTGTTTTATGTTTTTGTCATTTTTATTAGATCTATCTAATTATGTCTAAATAGTTTGTATTAATTTAATTTCATTAATTACTGTAAAAAAAAATAAAAAAAAAAAAACGGTAAACCACTGGCAGCTGTGGTTACCGTAACAATACGGTGTGTTACTGTTTTTGTGTTAGAGCATATAGCTGTTAAATTAAAGTTTTATACTGTAGCTGACAATACGGTATTTAGAAGTTATTTTCAAAAACAGTAACACACCGTATTTTTACACTATAATGCTGTCAACCAAAACTGCCAGTAGTTTACCGTTTTTTTTTATAAGATTAGTTTTTTGGTTTTCTTTGGAATCTAGCTAAAATAAGTTTTTACTTTTATTTAAATTTAATTTGTTTTATTCCAAGTAACAGATTTTTTTTTATGGTTTTAGTTTTAGTTAACTATAATAACCTGCTTAGAACTACTAATACTCTAGAAATGCTGGTATTGTTAATAGTTTTTTACTTGACTAGTAATTTTGACAAGACTATACTATACCAGCATGCATGTTCTGATTTTGACAAATTTCTGGTTGATCCTGGAGCAACATTCCTATCTGAAAATGTTATCCTAACCATATCCCTAAACCTAACCCTATCCATAAGTTATCCCTAAAATCAGAGGGTTACACTGATATAGAAGCACCTAGCCCTGGTTGTAAGCCTAAACTTCAAATCTGATTGGTTGATTGGAAAGTTGATCCAGGAACATGTTGCACTTGGTGTAGTACAGTATACTTGTTAACCAAGGATGTACTCTAAATGATGTGTTGCAATTAACTTGTTTCATTGTAGACGATCAATGCCATGGAGTCAAAGATGACCAATCTGGAGCAGAGAATCGCCGAGCTGTCCGAGGCCAACAAACTGGCAGCCAACAGCAGCCTTTACACGCAGAAAAACATGTGAGTCCACATGCATGACCATGCACACTGGAGATGATTCATTAATATGGTTAAGATGTTAAATAATGGTGCAAATACCAGTAACTTGACTAGCGCAAACATTTAAAGGGCCCAAATGTAGTTAAGCCCAAAATCAGCCCAAGCCCAAATCTTCAGAACACAGTTATTTTTCCTAGAAGTTTTGTTTGTAATCTTTAGGAAAGCCCAAGAGGAGATGATCTCTGAACTCAGGCAGCAGAAGTTCTATCTGGAATCTCAGGCTGGAAAACTGGAGGCCCAGAATGCAAAGCTGGAGGAACATCTGGAGAAGCTGACTCAACAGGAACAGACTAACAAGAGCAGAGTGCTGGAGCTGGAGGCCAGACTCAGAGAGGTGAGAGACCATTTTATCACTCGGGGAGAATTCTGAACCGTATTTCAGCTCAATATCACAATAATAATACATTTTATTTAATAATGCGATTTTCTTACACTCAAAGCGTTCACAGAGTAAAAGACACAAATAATACAGTTCAATACAATACAATCAGGACTTGACATTAAAGGAGTAGTTAACTTTTTTAAAAAAACTTTTTGCTGATAATTTACTCACCCCCATGTCATTTATTTTTATTTATTTATTTCAACAGGGACAATGTGCAAAAAACATGAATTAAAGATGATTTAGCTTAAGCTAGTTTCCATCTGCAGTCCCCGAGCAGGTGAATTACAATACAAAATATACAATATAAAATGTTATAATTAGTCACTCAAATACAACTATCAATTAATTCATTCATCCATTCTCTATTTCAACCACCAATAAAACCTCACTAAAAGTCATATTTACATACATAATTATCTATGCTGGCACAACTGGTGGTTCAATAGCACTTTCCTTATATTGCTAGAAAAATCCGTCATCCAAGATGTCCGTGTCTTTCTTTCTTCAGTCGAAAAGAAATTAACATTCCAGGATTTTCTCCATATAATGGACTTCAATGGGAACCAAACTTACCTCAGGGAAATGTGCCCTGGACGTGTTTTCCGGAGGTTCACTCAGTAACTGGTCCTGCTCGGTTCCTCCACAGATGGGTCTGGAACACGAGGAGCAGAAGCTGGAGATCAAGCGGCAGGTGTCGGAGCTCACGCTGTCACTGCAGGAGAGAGAAGCTCAGATCAGCAGCCTGCAGACGGCCCGTCACGCGCTAGAGATCCAGCTCCATCAGGCCAAGACCGAGCTGGAGGAGACGACTGCAGAGGCCGAGGAGGAGATCACCGTCCTCAGGGTGAGGGTTCACATCCAGGAGTAACATCTCCTTCCTTCCTCATCATTTAAAGGAGTAGTTCACTTTTGAAAAAAACTTTTGCTGATAATTTACTCACCCCCATGTCATCCAAGATGTCCATGTCTTTCTTTCTTCAGTCGAAAAGAAATTAAGGTTTTTGATGAAAACATTCCAGGACTTTCTCCATATAATGGACTTCAATGGGGACCAAACAGTTCAAGGTCCAAAAGACATTTTCAGTGCAAACTGCAAACTGTTCAAAGGGCTTTAAACGATTCCAGACGATGAATAAGGGTCTTATCAAGCGAAACGATCGCTCGTTTTATAAATAAATAACAAAGTTTAAGTTTTATAAGCTCAAACGCTTGCCTTGCTCTGTTCTCTAACACACTCCTGTTCGAACTCGTTCATCAAAATGAACAAATCTTTTTCCGAGTCATTTGGTTCATTCGGCGAAAAACGAACGAATTGATTCGGAACAAAATTTGTTCATTTTGTTGAAAGAGTTCGAACAGGAGAGCGTTACAGAACAGGAGGAAAAACACCTCAGTTTTATTCAGAGGCTCAAACTGAGAAAAAAATATGCATTTTGGTGCAGATGATGATATTTATATAAAGTTTTAAAAAGTAAGATGACATTTTGATGCTTGTAATGTAAATCACTGAGATTTTTAAAACAACACAACAGATTCTTACATAAAATGCATATAAATATCAGTCGTCTCTATATCTGTCAATGATAGGTCTTAGTAAGATGATATAAAAATGCTTAGTTTTATGATTAATCTCTGTAATTTTAAGGCATATAATGCAATAAATAATTGAGAGATTCAATTCCTCAAAATCCAGATGATCATCTTTGATACTCACGTTTGAAGTTGCTTCACTCCAATAAGTGTTCATCTTAAAATAAAGGTTATTCTTATGTTTTCTTTATATAAATCAGTGTAGACTTCACAGCAACAAGTGAACCACTAGCTGAAGGTGGACATTTTTACAATTAGACTAAAAGATTCTACTTGCACAAAAATCTTAAATTATTATTCAGACGACTGAAGGCATGTAGAAGATTTGATGATGTCTAATTTAGAGGCCATAGAAGTTTGCGAATCAAATATAGGGTTAAGTAACAGAAGTATTGACTGTAATTTAACCAAGTAGTTTGTAGCTTGACAAGCTAAAGTTTCAAACTCGCTTCAGTTGATATAATCTATAATATTTGATTCCATCACATTGCCGACTCCACTCATCTCCTTTAGTCTCATGGTAGTGAATAATCATGTGTTTCTGTACCATTGTGCTCCTCATCTTCACTGTGCTGTAAACATCTTCCCACGCTCCTCTGCGGTTTCATCCTCACCCAGTCGCTCTCATGCATGACATCACACCTGTCATGACACTCGAGATCATCTCGCAGCGCTCTGCTCGAACACACTTTACTGCAGAGTGTGCACTTCTCGCAAACACGCCAATTTTCACTCTCATTTTGTTTCTTTTTTTTTAAGGCCCATCGGGACGAAATCCAGCGGAAGTTTGATGCCCTGCGGGACAGCTGTGCGGTATGCAAATGAGCTTTTCTCTCTATTTGACTCATTAAATGTGACATCATCTGACCCGCATCAGTTTAACCTGTACAGACTGAATATGTGGGTGCTGTTTCGGTGTCCATAATCAGCATCTGGGGCCGTATGCACAAAGAATCTTTCCACGAGGAGTGCATTAAGAGTTTTCTCTTAAAAGTTATTCAGACCTACTCTTAGTAAGAAAAAATGACAGCTCTAACCTAAGAGTGATGGTGCGTTCACGTAAACGTAAATTCACGTAATATCATGTGTTGCATTTCTAATGCTTTTGTTGTCGTAATGTGGTAAAAAGATGGAGATCCAGACCAAAAGTATTGAAAAAAAGCAATGTAGAATGACTAAAGTGGACGGAATAAGGTGTAACTGTTTAGTTAAAAAATTCTGCAAACTATCTGTAAGATTTTTTAAATGTTTTTAAATGATTCCTCTTCTGCTTACGAAGGCATTTTTTAAAATCAGAAATTCAGTAAAAATAGTAATATTGTGAATTATTATTTAAAATAACTGCTTTCTATTTGGATACATATTGTAAAATGTAATTTATTCCGTTGATCAAAGCTGAATTTTCAGCATCATTGCTCACGTCTTGATCACATGATCACGTGATCCTTCAGAAATCACTGATTAGATTCACACGTGATCACATGTGATCCTTCAGAATCACTGAATGATTAGAAAGCTTAAAGAACAGCATTTATTTGATCAATCTTTTGTAACATTTCTAAATGTTCTGTCACTTTTAATCAATATAACGCACCCTTGCCAATTAATAGCATTAATTCATTTAAAAAAATCAAGCTTTTGATATGCATCATTTAGTCAATTCATAAAAAATAATCTCTCAACAGAAATAATCTCTTAATTAAAACCAGTTAATAAAAAGCGGAATGTATTGTATGATATTTATAACTGTCTGATGTGTTAAAAATATTACCTATATTTATGAAAAATCATTTAAAATAGTTTTAGATGAAGGCACGTCACAATGTTGTTGATATCATGTCAAGCAACCCATATATCACGCTATTGAACCCATATATCACGCTATTTTAATATATCATGTTATTTTTAGGACCCCCCCCCCAAAAAAAAACAAAACAAAACAACAACAACAAAACAAACAAATAATACAGAAAATATTCCATATTCCACCATTATCAAATGCATCTGTTTTCAGACATCCAGAAAGTTGTTGATCCCGCAGTCGTTGATGTTAGGAATCATTGGCCCTGGAGTGTGTTTGATTATTATCAAGCTCAGAGCATCTCTGCCCTACTTTCACTGTCCACCCACACTCAAGCTGTGTGAGCATCTCCAGCGCTCCAGCTCAACACATGCCATATTCTCTTCTGTGCTGAGGCTCGAGATTACATTACATTTCTCCTCCATCATACACCTTTGCAATTGTAACTGGAGCTCAGATGAACTTCTAAACTTGGAAATGAGAATTTCATTGGCTTATTCAAATGAAAACATATGGGCTTGTTTTTATAAGAAACTATTACTGTTGCTCATACTTTAAGGTAGTAGTTATTCTCAAGGTTGAAGTGTCTGAAGCTTTGCTGTCAGTGTCGGAGAGGAGAGCGGCGTCTTTCGTAAGCTCTTATAATCCCAGCCCCTGAGTGACGGCTTCTCTCCTCTAAACATGCTTTGATTTTTCTCAATTTTTGAGCTGTTTTTTGTACAGTAAGTGTATAAAATAATATTGTATTCCTATGCACTTTTTTTGTTTATTAAAGGCAAATTAAATGCATGTGCATCACTGAAAAATGAAACACCTTATTTTTTTATTTTTTTTTACCCTAGATCCATTTAATGAATGGATATGCTCTTCTTAATTTTGTCAATTAATCTAAATATCAATATTGGTGAGATTTAGATATTCAAAACAGTTTTGAGGTTAAGTGATCTAATTTTGTGTCTCTGGAAAATAGTGAGCTGACATTATATTAGGTTGTTTATGTGTCTATTCAGTAATGCACAGAGTGGCATGTTATAACTACTGTTAACTAATGCTATAACTACATTTAATACTGAAATTTATGGGATTATTATTCAGTAAGTAAATTTCAGATGTCTTGGCTATTCATTAAAACTTATAGGCTGACAGGGAAATCCTTCCATAGAATTCTTAAATAGAATTCAGTTTAATGCCAAGGCAACATTTCTAATTTTCAACTAATATTTTTATCTTTAATTTCTTTTCATTAATTTAATTTTATTTAATTTATGGTTTTATTTATTATTTATTTCTAAATAATAGTTTTAGTGCTTCAATTTAAACCTATTTCAGTTTAATGCCAAGGCAATATTTCTAATTGTCAATGTCAACTAATATTTTTATTTTATTTTTCATTTCATTTAATTCATTTTATTTATTTTATATTATTTTATTTATTTATAGTTTTATTTACTATTTATTTCTAAATAAGAGTTTTAGTGCTTCAATTTAAACTTATTTCAGTTTAATGCCAAGGCAACATTTCTAATTGTCAACTAATATTTTTATTTTATTTTTCATTTCATTTAATTCATTTTATTTATTTTATATTATTTTATTTTTTTATAGTTTTATTTATTATTTATTTCTAAATAATAGTTTTAGTGCTTCAATTTAAACTTATTTCAGTTTAATGCCAAGGCAACATTTCTAATTTTCAACTAATATTTTTATTTTTTATTTCGTTAATTTTATTTTATTTATAGTTTTATTTTATTTATTTTAAAGTTTTATTTATTATTTATTTCTAGATAATAGTTTTAGTGCTTCAATTTAAACGTATTTCAGTTTAATGGCAAGGCAACATTTCTAATTGTCAACTAATATTTTTATTTTATTTTTCATTTCATTTATTTTATATTATTTTATTTTGTTATAGTTTTTATTTATTATTTATTTCTAAATAATAGTTTTAGTGCTTCAATTTAAACTTATTTCAGTTTAATGCCAAGGCAACATTTCTAATTTTCAACTAATATTTTTATTTTTCATTTCATTCATTTTATTTTATTTATAGTTTTAATTATTTATAGTTTTATTTATTATTTATTTCTAGATAATAGTTTTAGTGCTTCAATTTAAACTTATTTTAGTTTAATGCCAGGGCAACATTTCTAGTTTTCAACTAACATTTTTATTTTTATTTAAATGATAAAACTGGTTTTAATCTTATCCTATTATTACTTTTCTAATCTGTCAGATTTCCACTTGACCAATATTATAAAACACCTATGAACCATCCAAGAAACCACAGAAACGGCATCATGTGGACAGCCACTCAGAAGAAGACAGACAGATGCATTTTTGGATTTAGTAGGTAAACCTAAACACAGGCTAAAAATACACTAGAGTAGGATAAAAAGTGTGTTTTTGTTCGCTAGTTAAAGTGGGTCAGTGTGTGTGTGAGCATGGCGCTGTGCCTTTAACAGTAATGACAATAATAATGAGCGCAGAAACCTCCTCCGCACCAGAGGAGTGTTTGGCACCGCTGATCTCCTTGACCGGCTCTGCAATCTCATGCATCTCTTCTGTTGTTCTGAAGCATTGGAAATGTGTGAAGTGAAACGAGAAAACACTTCTAAAAATGGTTTTAGTCGAAGTAGGGTTTCTGATGAAGTTCAGAAGTTGATGTTAAAATCTTTAAGAACGTTTCTGACGGGATTAAATACACGCCTGTGACACTGCAGGGGTTTTTAGACATTAGGAAGAAACATGGGGAATGGCATCAGGATATGATCACGCTGGTCTCTAGTGGGAAACAGTTTGTTAGCACACATACCTCTGACATTTTTAGCAAGATGGACCACTTTGCAGCTTATCTTATGTAAATACCATGCTGTAGGAAAACTACATTGTATATGGCCATCATTTTTATTGTTGTTAAAATAAGTCGTGCCTTTATTAGCAGGGCTGTAAAATCATAATAATTTAAAATAGCTTTTTTCCATTTGTATATATTATAAACTGTAATTTATTCCTGTGATGAAAGCTGTATTTTCAGCATCATTACTCCAGTCTTCAGTGTCACATGATCCTTCAGAAATCACTCTAATATGATGAATTGCTGCTCAGTTCTCATTAGTATCAGTGTTAAACAGTTGTGCTTCTTCAAATTCTGTTTTTTTTCAAGATTGTTTGACGAATAGAAAGTTCAAAAGCCACACTACTGTTCAAGAGAAAGACATTTTTCTACAAAGAAACCAATAATTTAATGAAAGAATCCACCAAAAGAACAGCATTTATTTGGAAAAAGAAGCTTTTGGAACATTATAAATGTCTTTACTGTCACATTTGTTTACATTTGATGCATTCGTTCCGAATAAAATTAGTAGTTTCTTTGTGGAAAAATGTCTTACTTTTTAACCAGTAGTGTGTGTCATACACACTTATCTAAAGGATTATTAGGAACACCTGTTCAATTTCTCATTAATGCAATCATCTACTTAAATGCAATCTAATCAACCAATCACATGGCAGTTGCTTCAATGCATTTAGGGGTGTGGTCCTGGTCAAGACAATCTCCTGAACTCCAAACTGAATGTCAGGAAAAAGAGGCGACAATTTGCAAGAGCTCACCAAAATTGGACAGTTGAAGATTGGAAAAATGTTGCCTGGTCTGATGAGTCTCGATTTCTGTTGAGTAGAGTCAGAATTTGGTGTAAACAGAATGAGAACATTGATCCATCATGTCTTGTTCCCACTGTGCAGGCTGGTGGTGGTGGTGTAATGGTTTTCTTGGCACACTTTAGGCCCCTTAGTGCCAATTGGGCATGGTTTAAATGCCACGGCCTACCTGAGCATTGTTTCTGACCATGTCCATCCCTTTATGGCCACCATGTCCCCATCCTCTGATGGCTACTTCCAGCAGGATAATGCACCATGTCACAAAGCTCCAATCATTTCAAACTGGTTTCCTGAACATGACAATAAGTTGACTGTACTAAAATGGCCCAGATCTCAACCCAATAGAGCATCTTTGGGATGTGGTGGAACGGGAGATGTGCATCCCACAAATCTCCATCAACTGCAAGATGCTATCCTATCAATATGGGTCAACATTTCTAAAGAATGCTTTCAGCACCTTGTTGAATCAATGCCACGTAGAATTTCAGTTCTGTAGGTGAAAGGGGTCAAACACAGTATTAGTGTGGTGTTCCTAATAATCCTTTAGGTGAGTGTATATAACATATAAATGTTCCATCACTGTTTTTTTTTCAGGTGATCACGGACCTGGAGGAGCAGTTGACGCAGCTCACGCAGGAAAACGCAGACCTCAACCGACAGAACTTCTACCTGTCCAAACAGCTGGACGAGGCGACGGACGAGAACGAGGAGAGACTGCAGCTCAAGCAGGACCTGGAGCGCCTGCGCCGCGAGGTGGCCGACCGAGAGATGCACCTCAACAACCAGAAACAGGTGGAGTGAACACACACACACACACGTGCGGTCGCGGCGGGAGAGAGAGCCCACAGCAGCGTTTAAACTGATGATGCTCAATCTGAAGAGGATGGTTAGCTGTCATTAGCATCTCAAAAGTGACATAAAGGGGCGTAATGTAAGAATCAAAATGCAGGTAGTCCTGTCAATCATCTTTACGAGCGTACTATAGTGGGGTGGATTTTGGAGCTTTAATTTCGGCTTTAATTTGGAGCTCAAACCAAACGTTAAAGGTCCGCTGTCATGGGTTTTTTGTATTATTTTATAATGTTTCCTGGGTTGCCCTTATAATGTTTGTACAGTATGTTTTTTAGATCAAAAATAGTAAATAAAATTCTAGACACGAGGGGACCAAATACAGTCTAGGGGAACTCATATTAATGTTAAAAAACCTCAGAAAATGAAAATTTCATGTCAGGGGACCTTTAAAGGGCTAAAAGTTCATTGTTCATATGGCAACTCTATTATTAAAGCTTTTATTTTATTTATTCTTTAATAATAATTTTTTTTCCCTTATTAGTTCAGCAAGCCAATTTTTTTAATCACTGAATAGGCATCGACATGTATTGAAGCTTGTTTCCGTGACAGAATAAAAAAATTAAAAAGGGACTTTTTTTAAAAAAAAAAAAAGGGAAAAACTAAATCTCAGAGTTTAAATCTTGCAATTTTGACTTTTTATCTCGCAATTCTGATGATGTAAACTCGAAATTGTGAGGTGAAAAGTCGCAATTATCTTTTAAAATTAAATTTTGTATATCTTTTTGTTTTTGTCTGTGGCGAAAACAAGCTTCCATAGCCATATGTTACACTACTGTTGAAAAGTTTGGGGTCAGTGAGATAAAAAAAGTAAGTTTTTACTGTATTTTTGATCAAATAAATGCAGCCTCAGTGAGAAAAACAAAGGAGACTTCTCTCAAAAAGATTAAAAAATCTTACCCATCCCAAATTTAGGAAGGTAGTTAGTATGTGATCATAAACAAAAAGTTGTGCTGTTTATTTGCAGTTCTCTTTTTCCTGGCAAATAAAGGTCATTAAAGTTTGTGCTATACGTATATGATCGTTTTTCATTCTTGAAAAGTGATGACACAACAAATAAACAGCAAATCACAGCTTTCCTCAGAGCTAAAACAAAGCTGTTTAATAGACTGGAAATGATGCTCGTAGGTTCTATTGTATTGTGTGATGATGGCGCAGGGGGATGAGTGGTGTGTGTGTGTGTGCGGTGATGTATGCGCGTGGGACGCGTGTGTAGGTGTGCAGTCCTCGCTGTTGTATAACAGGAGCGGATGGTAATCATAGATGCTGGTAGGAGGCAGAGATGTGTCATATTCACTCGCTGCTCTCCTCTGCCCTGCCAGCGTTGGACTTCACAGGGGCAACAAAAGCACCCATGCTATATTTGGAGACTCTCTCTTTCTCTTTCGGCCCTGTGTCTTTGTGAAACGTGGTAATTTTCAGTCCTGCCACTGAGATGCACTTTCAAGCACATCTGCCGGATGCGAGACACCCTCGAGGACCGGATCTCCGAAAATCAATTCCGATTGGCAGCGACTCTGAATCCGGATCTGCTAATGAAAGTCAAAAAGGACAAATCTGCTGCTTCCTTTCCATATCTATCAACTTAATTTCAGAGTCATATCCTGCAGTTCCTCAGATCCTGTCTGTAGGTTTGCAGCAGATGTATTGAAAAAGTTATCGCTGATCTGTTTCATTTGATCAAGGGTCTAGGTGTACACTCTAAACAATGCTGGGTTTTTCAACCCAAATTTCGGTCAAATATGGACAAACCCAAATGTTGGGTTAAAATGCATTTATTACAGTTGAAAGTGAAAGTTGAAGTTGGGGTGAAATTTGAAATTACATTTTTAACCCAACATTTGGGTTGGTCCATAATTTACCAACAACCCAGCATTGTTTAGAGAGTAATATCTTGTCATTTTAATATGGTAATTTCCAGGTTTGGAAAAGTCTTGGAAACTTCTATAATGAAAATGTATTTAATTTCTAAAAATATGAATACGATTTATTTAAATAAAACGTATTTAACTTATGAAATGTTATATACTTATAAAAGACTCATCTACTAATACATTTTTATGTTTACATGTGCACTAATAATGTCATTTTATTATTTTTACAATAATCAGTGGAAGGACATAATTGCAGGAAGATGTTTACAGGACATATTCACTCCCGTTTACATGCCATTTTTTATTATTCTGATTTTTTTAATTTTACAGAGGAATGATACATGATACAAATACAAAATCATGATGAAAAAAAAATAATCCAGTAATTATGAACAACTACAAAAGCAATATTAAACGATTGCTGTTTGAGTAACATTATAAGTGTCAAAGAAACCTGGAAATATTTGGTAATTTTAAAATTGTACTTTCCAGGCCTGAAAAAGGCCTTTATTTTATAATTAATAAAAATTAATAAAATAATTAATAAATTAATTAATAAAATCTTTAGAAAATCATGGAAAACTTCTATAATGAAAATTAAATGCAAGGAAAATTAAAGAAAAATGTATTTCATTTAAATTAAATAAATGGATGAACAACTGGAAAAGACATGGAAAATTATATGATTACTGTGTGTGTGTGTGTGTGAGAGAGTGAGTGTGTGGCCTGGTAAACCCTACATTATGGGAACAAAATGTCCCCTCAGAGATGGCAATATCCGGAATAAATCCTTGACCTTTTGGGGACATTTTTGGTCCCCATGAGAAAAAACTGCGTATAATAAATCAAACGAGTTATGTTTTTTGAAAATGTCAAAAATGCTGAAAGTTTTCTGTTAGGGGTCGGGTTAGTGTAAGGGGAGATAATATACAGTTTATACAGTATAAAAATCATTGTGTCTATGGAAAGTCCCCACAAAATATTGACCCAACGTGTGTGTGTGTGTGTGTGTGTAGAACATCGAGACACTGAAGACGACATGTACAATGCTGGAGGAGCAGGTGCTGGAGTTGGAGACACTAAACGACGAGCTCCTGGAGAAGGAGAGACAGTGGGAGAACTGGAGATCTGCCCTGGACGAGGAGAAGAACCAGGCCGAGCGCAGAACCAGAGACATACAGAGACAGCTGGACAACGAGAAGCAGAACAGGTACAGAAACACACACACACACGTTTGGACACATGTCAGAGCCGTGAAAGCTCAAAAGAGTCTCTCTGTAGTTTAGAATTTTCTTTAATTTTATGATAATAAATTATTGATACATAATATATCAAGTTAATTAGCATAAAATAAATATAAAATATATACTTGCGTATTTTTTTATTATATATAAATAGTTATTACAGGTGAAACTCGAAAAAAGTGCAAAAGTCCATTTATTTCAGTAATTCAACTTAAAAAGTGAATCTTATATAGACTCATTACATGCAAAGTGAGATATTTCAAGCCTTAACTTGTTATAATTTTGATGATTATACAACTTATGAAAACCCCAAATTCAAAAGTAGAATATTGTGAAAAGGTTTTCATAAGCTGTAAGCCATAATCAAGGCTTGACATGTCTCACTTTGCATGTAATGAGTCTATATAATATATTAGTTTCACCTTTTAAGTTGAATTACTGAAATAAATTTATTAAAATGTATTTTTAGAAATTAAAAACTTTTTGATTTTTTTGAGTTTGCTATTATATTATTATATAAAATCTGTTATTTTTTTACTTAACAATTATTTTATTATTTTTAATACAATGAAAACAGCAAACTATTTAATAAATTGTTACATTTGAATAATACGCAAATAATGTTAACAGATTAATAATGTCATAAAATTATGCCATTTTTATCATGTATAATCATCAAAATTATAACAAGTAAAGGCTTGAAATATCTCACTTTGCATGTAATGAGTCTATATAATCTATTAGTTTCACCTTTTATGCTCAATTACTGAAATAAATGAACTTTTGCAGTTTTTTTGAGTTTCACCTGTTTAATTATTGTCAGCTTAAACTAAAATAATGACATTTTTATCATTTGTTAATGCAAAAATAAATAAATAAATACATTAAATAGATACATTAAATGCTATACATGTTTATAAAATATTTAGTTTTATGTTTCCGTTGCAGATTACTATTAGACACATAAATCCTTTGAGATGTCATTTGTTGGTTCAGAAAATGACTCAGAAAAATATTTATGTAACTGTTGGGCATAATCAGTGTAAAAATAGTTTATTTTCTAAACGTCCACAGGGCCAGAAGCACTCATGGTTATATAAGAGTTACATAATATACGTTAAGTATAGATATAACAGAAACACTGCGGTAAGAGATCAACACGTCACTGTCTGCTAACTTCTCTCTCGTTCTCTAGACTCCGCGCAGAGCAGCGCAACTCTGAGTCTCGACAGACAGTCGAACTGGCAGTGAAAGAACACAAAGCGGAAATCCTGGTCCTGCAACAGGCCCTGAAAGACCAGAAACTCAAAGCTGAAGGTCTTTCTGACACCGTAAGTGTGCGTCACTCACTGTGGATAAAAGCATCAGCTGAATGACTACATGCATGCATACTTACTCTGTGTTCATCAGCTGGGCGATCTGGAGAAGAAACACGCCATGCTGGAGATGAACGCGCGCAGCCTGCAGCAGAAGCTGGAGAGCGAACGAGAACTCAAACAGAGGCTCATGGACGAGGTGCTTCACTTTACTAGCACGCAAAACACGTATTTACCTAATAAATACAGTCATTATTATTATAATTATTATTATCAATATTGCCATTGTCAATGCTGTATTAGAATTAAGTGTCATTGTCATCACTAATGCAATAACTTCCCCCTTATCTCTTCATGGGTTTTTAATGCACCACAACATAGAATAGGGAAAAAAAAAAAAAAAAAAAGGAAGGAATAAGTATATATGGAAACACCTCACACGTGGTTTCAATGGGACAGCATCTCTGTCCCAATTTGAGACAATCTCGCACTGTACTCCCTATTTTAATGCACCTTAGACATTGCACATAACACACACACAAAAAAAAATAAAAGGAAAAGATAGGGACTGATGAGATGTGGGGGAAGGTTATCTTATATTATATTATCTTATATTATATACCATGATATATTATCTTATTATATCATATTTTATTTTATACAGGATTGACAATGGCAATTGTTACATAGGAGGAAGGATGGAAATAAAAATCTACCAACACAATATGGGCAGTATGATGGTAGTGGGGAGTGGTAATAAATAATAAATGGTTACTTTGTTTACACATACCCACACTCACATTCACACTTAGATCAAACACTTAAATCACTCTCGTCACTGCTGGAATTATGGATTTACAAGATTGCTCACTACTGCACTATGTTGGTTTGTTTGTATGTATGTCTGACTGTTAAATAAAAAAAAAATAAAAATAAATGCAGTCATTTGAGTTGAAATGATCAAGCCGTGTAATCGTGCATCCATAGCATAGCCTGTGTGTGTCATGCTGTGACTTTTCTTCTCAGCAAGCGAAACTGCAGCAGCAGCTGGACATGCAGAAGAGCCACATCTTCAGACTGACTCAAGGACTGCAGGACGCGCTGGACCAGACCGACCTTCTGAAGACTGAGCGAACAGACCTGGAGTACCAGCTGGAAAACATACAGGTGCACACACACACATGTGCTCTTTATGGAGAACCTTTCATACTCATGCAAACTTTTCATTCCACAAAAAGTTCTTTATAGTGGAAAAAGGTTCTTTAGGGTGATACATTTTAAACTTTCAGCAAGTTTTGGTTTGGTTTCACACTTTACGTGACATACTTGCGTCCTGTCGTCATCATCTATGTGGGCTGCATCTTGACATCGATTGGTTTGCAAATGGACGTACGTCTGACGTCTGCGCGTTGTCTTTTCGGGGGGTAACTTTGACGAGACGAATGAACAGACGCTTAACGTCGCAATTGTGTTGTTATTTTAATGGCATAATTACCTGCGAAACCAACTATACACAAGGCTAGTTCAAATTCGCCAAATGAACGTCCTCGTCGTGCGAACATTTTATCGCCGTCGGCAGGAAAGGAGGAGACTGCAAGCAATTTTTGTGATTTGACTTCTCATTATGTCATCAGACCATATTTCAATTAAAAACCTTGTCTCCTCCTCTCCCCATGTGCTACCACGGCTCATTTTTCTGTTTTTTCGGCCAACCACTGGAACTTCCTGTAAAAGGTCTGAAAGTACGAACCATAGAGAAATGCTTTCACACTATAAACGAGCCAAACCATTGTTCAGTTTGATCTGGACCGAGACTACCTCTTTTCGACGGCCCAAATCTGATCTGTTTGGTTCGGACCGTGGTTTCACACCTGTAATTTTGATTCGGACCAAACTGAAAAGTCCGAAAGTCCGGACCAAACAATGTATGTGTGAAAGGGCCCTTAAATCAGTGTTTCTTAACTGGACAGTTTTGAGTGGGTCACGAAGTGAACAACAAATGTAATTGTAAATGTTTAAAGGATTAGATCACCTGAAAATGAAAATTTCCTGATAATTTACTCACCCCAATGCCATCCAAGATGTTCAAGTCTTTCTTTCTTCAGTGGGTTTTTTGAGGAAAACATTTCAGGATTTTTCTCCACACAATGGACTTCAATGGGAACCAAATTGTTGGAGTCCAAATCACTACAGTTTCAAAGGGCTTTTTCACACTGCTCTGGACGATCCCAGCTGAGGAATAGGGTCTTATCTAACGAAACGTTCGGTCATTTTCTAAAAAATAAATAAATAAAAATGGATGCTTTTTAATAGGGCTGCCAAACGATTAATCGCGATTAATCGCATCCAAAATAAAAGTTTGTGTTTACATAATATATTTGCGTGCACTGTGTATAATTATTTTATATATATAAATACGCACAGAAATATTTTCATGTATATAGATTTATTTATAATTTATATTATATATAAATATAAATATTTTATTTATAAAAAATAGTTTTTTTTCTTAAATATACACGCGTGTGTGTGTATTTATTTATATATATATATATATATAATTATACACAGTGAGTGCACCCACATATATTATGTAAACACAAACTTTTTTTTGGATGCGATTAATCGTTTGACAGCCCTACTTTTTAACCACAATTATTTGTCTTGTGCTGGTCTGCGGTGCGCCAGGCATTATGTAATCACGATGGAAAGGTCACGCTGGACGTAGGCGAAAGTATCGCCTATGGTGTCTGAAACCATAGTGCTTTGAGTGCACTCATTCAAACCGCAACACAACTGACGTACACTCAACGGCTGTCACTCGTTTTAATTCACTCCTTCATGTGAACAGTATTAGTGGACTAACGTAGGGATTGAGGGGGGCGATTTCGGATTCAGCCAAGTGTTTCACTCCAAACATTTCCAACGGTGTTTTCTAAGGGTATTCTGGCTCCCCTGCAGGCGGCGTATTCTCACGAGAAGGTCAAGATGGAGGGGACCATCACCCAGCAGAGCAAGCTCATAGACTTCCTGCAGGCCAAGGTAGAGCACCCCTCTAAGAAGAAAAAGGTCAGAGTCATCCGCTGTAAATTCACTTCATTAACTAATCTGACTAACTGCTTGCTGAGCTGCGCATTAGGTGTCCCTGGAGCTACATATGCCAATAACCGCATACTAACCGTGCAATGCGTCGGCCTATCTCATATGTATATATTCATTTATCTATATATCCAGCCGCCCTGAATATGTGAGCTGTAGAAAGGGACACCTAATTTGACTGGATATCTAGGGATGGAATAGCAGGATAGAGTCTCCTGTAGCTGGGCACCGGAGTGAGCCTGAGCGATTCACTTCGTCTCGTGTTTTGGGTGCAGGGGCTTTTTGGTGGCCGGCGTCGAGAGGATCTGTTGGCGGCTCTCGCGGCTCAGGGTCAAACGCAGGCGTCCGCCGTGCCCTCCGGGACCCCTGTTCCCCTGCAGTACAGCGACCTGAAGACCGCGCTGGAGAAAGAGCGGGCCCGCAGCTCAGAGCTTGAAGAAGTGCTGCAGAAAACACGCCTGGAGCTCAGAGAGGGTGCGACGCCGCCGTTACACACATCTTCTACACACATTTATATTAGTTCAAAAGTCTCTGCTTAAATTATGAGAGAATAATAAAACAGACTAATTACAATTATTGCAATACACACCACTGTTCAAAAGACTGGGTCTGCGTTAAATTTATCAAAAGTGAGAGTTATGACATATAATGTATATTGCACATATATTATATTACATAGATTATTATTTCAAATATATACTGTTCTTTTGAACTTTTTTGTTCATCATAGTGTCCATAAAGGAGTAGTTCACTTTTAAAAAAAACCTTTGCTGATAATTTACTCACCCCCATGTCATCCAAGATGTCCATGTCTTTCTTTCTTCAGTCAAAAAGAAATTAAGGTTTTTGATGAAAACATTCCAGGATTTTGCTCCATATAATGGACTTCAATGGGGTCCAAACGGTTCAAGGTCCAAAAGACAGTTTCAGTGCAGCTTCAAAGGGCTTTAAACGATTCCAGACGATGATTAAAGGTCTTATCAAGCGAAATGATCGCTCATTTCAAAAATAAATAACAAAGTTTAAGTTTTATAAGCACAAATGCTTATAAAATGCTTGCTCTGTTCTGTGATGTGCGTTCATGACTCTTCTGTTCGAACTCGTTCATCAAGATGAACAAATATTTTTGGTTATTAATATAATATATTTGGAGTCATTTGGTTCATTCAACGAGTTGACTCTGGAAAAGATTCGTTCATTTTGATGAACGAGTTCGAACAGGAGAGTTACGAACGCACATCACTGAACAGAGCAAGGCGATCATTTGTGCTTATAAAACTTAACCTTTTTTTTAAAATGAGTGATCGATTCACTTGATAAGACCCTTATTCAACATCTGGTATCGTTTAAAGCCCTTTGAACAGCTTTTGGACCTTGAACCGTTTGGACCCCATTGAAGTCCATTATATGGAGAAAAATCCTGGAATGTTTTCATCAAAAACCTTCATTTCTTTTCGACTGAAGAAAGAAAGACATGGACGTTGGGTGACATGGGAGTGAGTAAATAATCAGCAAAAGTGTTTTTAAAAGTGAACTACTCCTTTAAAAATTATCATAATTTCTACCAGAACTGTTTTCACCACTGATAATAATCATAAATGTTTCTTGAGGAGCAAATCCTCATATTAGAGTGATATCTGAAGGATCATGTGACACTGAAGTGATTTGCATGCTGCAAATCACAGGAAGAAATATATTTTTAAATATATTCAAATCGCAAACAGTTACTTTACTTTTGAATAATATTTTACAATATTACCGTGTACTGTATTTCTGATCAAATAAATGCATGGTGAGCAGAAGACACTTTTGAACAATTTAATGAAACTTTAAGCAAACGTGCCGCAAACTGAGTGCAATGCTCACAAACATGACGTTTATCTCTGTGGTCTGTTCCCTCATCAGTTCAGTTTAATAAAGCTATGGAGCACAGCGGTCCTCCAGCTACCCCGGGTCTGGCTCGCCAGCAGCTCATGATGTCCACCAAATCCAACAAGTCCCCTGAGCACCAGCCCAGCCTGATGTCGTCCAGCTCCGGCCGCAGGAAAGATGCTGCCAATCCTGAAGGTTAGAGCGGAGACATTGAACATTCACAGCCTTTTTAATATTCACAACTTACACAAAACAACAGCTGTGTTCTCTTGGTCCTTCTTGCCATTTCATCTCATGCCAAGAATACAGGGAAATTAAAGTGCCCCTATTATGCTATTTTAGAGGCTTCTCATTTTGTTTTAAAGGTCTCTAAGCATCCAAGGTCAAAACACACTTTACATTGCAGCTTCTGCTCAAGTGTCTGAAACGGTTTGATCAAGGATTCAGTCTCTCTAAACCCCTCCTTTCTGAGAGCTGCTCTGCTTTGATTGGTCAGACAGCCCAGTCTGTTGTGGGCTGCTTTGATGCAATCTATATTGTGAAAAGCGCTATATAAATAGACTTGACTCATTGGTCGAACACTTACAGTGCATGTCTGAAAACAAGCGCTCATTATCATATCTGAATTTCAGATGTTGATATACAGTGATTCGAAGAGTAACGATGGCATGGGTTTTACCGTATCGATCTCATCAAAGTGGATTTGCTTTAGCGTCTTCTCGACATGAACAACACGAACCAAACCCTTCCAGTCTCAGATACAACTACAGGGTTTGAGGGCGGAGCAAAACAGACATTATTTGCCAGCAGCCAATGAAAAGTCTAAGCTGGCATTATGCAAATTTGTGACAAACTATGTAGGTTTGTGAGACTGGAGTTACTGACGCCTCGTTTCAGCAGTTCAGAATCGTTTCTTTTAGGGCTGTCAAACGCGTTATTAAAACCTATTTTAACGGCGGAAATTTTTTTATCGCGCGACATATGGCAACGTTGTTTTCAATAAAAAACATTTGCACAAAGCAAGCCGATCCACTTTTCTGAGCATTAAGTTTAAGAGAGACATTTAGGACAGATTAAAATGTGTGATTAATCGGGAGTTAACTTTGACATTAATGCGATTAATCGCGATTAAATGTTTTACATATTTTATTTTATTATTTATGACAAATAAATATTTTATTTTGTAAAATATTTTATACAATATTTTATTAGTTTGACAGCACTAATTTCTTTCTTTTAGGAGACAATAACGTCTCTGTTACGTATGGAGGCTAATGACCCCCTTTTCGCCGTCTTTCGACGTAACTCGAAGCGACTACGAAAGGGAACTCCATTGATCTACGGTTTGATCTCTGAAACTTTGCAGACCTTTTACGTTCACAAACAGCTTTATGACGCACTACATGAAGGGAATATCCCTACGCAAAAAGCATAATAGGTGCACTTTAAATCAGAAGCTTGTAAGAAAATGCTGATTTGATGCTTATTACTGTTTGAATATGAGATGAGAGGACTCCAGACCGTACGTATTTACAGTCGATGTTTTCGCTCATGTCTGTCCACACTCACTGTCCTCTTTGTTGTCGTTCCACAGAAATAAGGAGAGTCACTTCTGAAAGTAAGTTATTTCTTAGGCGACCCACTCTCAAGAAACCGTGCCATTTACGTGCTTGAAATACACACGTTTTCCGACGATTTCATTGTTTATGTTTTCATTTCAAAAAGTTATTGCTAAGCTTTCAAGATGAGGCTGATAAACGTAAAAACATCATGAATTACCAAAACTTTGTGGCCAGGAAGACTTTATTTTCATCGTAGTTAAATCATTAAATTGGGAAATGTCTAAGTGAGGGAAACTGCATTTTAGAAAACACATATATGTACTGTATACATACAAATTGTCTACACTCCAAACAATGCTGGGTTGTTATAACGCAAAATTGGGTAAAATATGGACTTGGGTTAAAAATGTCATTTAAAATTTTAACCCAACTTCAACTTTCACTTAATTTCAACTGTAAATTTAATGACATTTTATCCCAACATGTGGGTTTGTCCTTATTTGACCCAAATTTTGGTTGAAATAACCCAGCCTTTTTTAGAGTGTAATATTCAGATAACTTTTTTTTTTTTTTTTCACACACACAAAAAAATAAACTCCAAATGGAGTATAATGTGATCGTGTTCAGTCGTAAGGACACTAATGGCACTGTTTCCTGAGAATGAACCAGGCGTCTCTCCGTTATCTATTCTTTCTTGGTATGATCTTTTTTTTCCTGCAGAGATAAGCTCTCTGGCCAAATCCAAACATGCCTTTTATGGGCGTCCTACGCTTCATTTTTTCAATGAACACGTTTTGTGTCGGCTCATCATGGTTCGACTTCCACTCAGGACATCATGGACTGATTCTGGATATCCAAAGCTCCCGCACACAGATCAGTCAGGACACTGAGCTTATCTCGTACATGCATACACTCGTATTTATGGCCATACTCTTGCTGTATGCCATGCAGAATGCGAGAACTCCCGAAATCCTTGCATGTTTGTCCTCAAGCTACCAATGACAGCTTGGACAGTACAGTGATTTCTTCAGCCTCTGATGGAGACATGTTCTCAGGAGAAGACATTTTCGGCTTGCTTTGGCCTGTTTGCATAAGTTATATAGACAGGTATAAGAGCGTTTTTATGAGTGTGTGTTTGATCCTCTAGAGTACACCAGACGTGTGAAGGACAGGGTCCATCACAACACTCCTCACCGCTTCACGCAGGGGCTCAACATGAGGGCGGCCCGCTGCACCGTGTGTCTGGACACAGTCCATTTTGGACGGCAGGCCGCGACCTGCATTGGTACGGATCACACCGAAACCCAAATAAACATACACCATCACTATACTTACAAGTACACACTATACACATGACACAAGAAGGGATGTGCTGTTGCCACTTTTTCCACGAGTATAATAAATATACATTAATTTTTGGTACTTGCTGATACAATGATTGAATTGCATTGCCTAAGTTTTTTTCCTAGTCAAAAATAGTATATATATATACTGTATATATACACATTTTTTCATTTATTTAAACAGGGACAATGCACAAGTTAACATTAACCTTGTATAAACACAAGGAGAGATGCATTGTGCCAGGTTGTAGCACAAGTGCTATCACTGAATCAATGAAATACAGTACCTGAATCAGGTATTTAACCACTGAATCAATTATCAACCTAATCCATTCATTTAAATCAACAAAACTAATTTTTGCAGTTGTTAAATCTGGGAGAAATAGTTCTTTAAGGCAACAATTGCAGGTTACCAGAGTATGAATATTAGTCGGCTTAATGTTTGTATATGATACAACTTTTTCCTCCTCAAACATTGTTGTTTGACCCAATCAGGTTAAACTTTAGCTTAACATAATAAATCTAGTTTTCATATTTCCATTAATAAAAAAAAGTACATTTATAGCTATATAAATGTGATTTTAAAGGCTATGTTAAAACTATAGTCCGTCCACACACGCTAATGTTTTAATTACTGGCACTTTTATTTAAATTGAAACATACTTGAGTTGTCTTTTGCCTCTTTTGTGTTTGTTTTGTGATTGTGTGATCTAATTTGATCTGTTATCTTGGCTAGGTCTCTTTTGAAAAAGACATTTTATATCTCAATGAGACAAACCTGGTTAAATAAAGGTTAAATTAAAGTATATATATATATATATATATATATATATATATATTTAACCAGATATATTTTTAATATAAAAATAAATAATAAATTTGTCAATAAATGTTTAATTTATAACCCACAGATGTCAAAATTACCCTGTAACTACTTTGCACAATAACATATTTAGTCAGAAATGTGACAACTTTTATATACAACAGAGTCAGATTTTTTGCCTGGAATATATTATCAGAATAGATACCTGTTAGTTTTAAAATAATTACATTATAAATAATTTGCTTTTATATCTGGTTGTACCCCTTTATTACCCAAAACTTATATTGTTCCCTTATACCTACACGGAGGTACACTATAATTTCAGAAAAAATACACCGTAAATACTATATAAAGTATTTTTTTAATACTTTTTATTCACATACTTTGTGATGTATTGCCTTAGCATTACATTTGTGAGTGTAAATAAATGAGAGTGACGGCTATTTTAACATCTTTCTCTCTTCTGACCAACGTAATCAATCTCAATATTTTTTCCTCTTTTGGAAAGTCATAGCAACACTATTGTGGTTTTATTTTCTTGCTATTGGAGCAAATGGGCATGCAAAAAATGATATTTGCCATGCAGTTTTTTCCCTTCACCACAATAGAAGTTTACCCAACAATGACTTCCGTTTCCGTTTCGAGTCCATTGTTGTTTGTTAATATATTGCTGAGGCAATCAGGTCAACCTGTGCTAAAGCTGAAGATGCTGATCCTGTTTCTTCTTTAGAATGCCATGCTTTGTGCCACCCGAAATGCTCCCCGTACCTCCCAGCCACCTGTGGCGTTCCCACCGAGTACGCGCTGCATCTGTCCGAGGCTCTGTGTCGGGAGAAGGGAAGCTCCTCCGGCCTGAAAGACGCTGGCGGACACATGAGGCTGGAAGGGTGGCTGAAGCAGCCCAGGTGAGCATGTGACCTCAGGTCTCCTGCTGCAAACAAGTCACAAGTTATCTTCATTCATACAGCGCTCTTAACAATATAGATTGTTTCAAAAAGCAGCTTTACAGTGATAATTGGAAATTAAAGTAACAGATTGTTTTGGCTTTACAGCAGCTCTAGAATAAAGTTATTGTCCAGATAAATTTCTAAATCGATTCACTTCCATTGCAAAGATCATTAATGATTAACTTAGGGGCCGCTAACACAACGCCGTTCTAACAGAAACAACAACACAATCGCACAACAACAGTGTCTGATGGCTAGGGTTGTGGACTCGAGTCAAATGACTCGGACCTGACTTGGACTCGAGTCCCAAATTTGATGACTTGCGACTCGACTTGACATATTCAAAGATGACTTGCGACTTAACTTGGACTTTGACAACAATGGCTCTCGACTTGACTCGGACTGTGACTTGGAAAGACTTGACCTACCTTCTAAAACCACAGATCAGAGTTGTAATAATCACTGACTGTAGTATAGTATTATAACGTGTTCAGACAGTTTTCAACAAAATGATGTTTTCTTTTTTCTTTCTCAGGCATTTAAATGCACAAGTACTAGCGAACCGTTTATATTTTGAGAAATAAAAAAACCCACTGATGTCTAAGTAAGCGGAAATAATAAACCTTTCAAATGTAATTTTGAGACATGTTATTTTTCCCCCACAACAAACGCACGTTTTTAGCCTATAGGTAACTATAAAGTCTTCTCCCTGTTCACCAGCCACTTACTCTCATGTCTTTCGGGAGAAATGGATGGATTTATGTTACGTTTTGTAAATGACAGGCACATAGCCCCAAAAAGTGTCACGTGACGCTTGATGCGTCGCCACGGAAATAGGAATGTTCTAGTACAATTACTGTCGCGTTAACAAAATAATTTAACCAGGAACTCAATATTTTAAACTTAATGTGCAGCAAATCATGATTAAAGGGATACTCCACTTTTTTTGGAAATAGGCTCATTTTACAACTCCCTCAGAGTTAAACAGTTGAGTTGTACCGTTTTCGAATCAATTCAGCCGATTTTCTGATATTTAGAAGATTATCAGTAACCAGACCGTTTCTGGTCTCATTGACTTCCATAGTAGGAAAAAATATATACTATGGAAGTCAATGAGACCAGAAACTGTCTGGTTACTGATATTCTTTTGAATATCAGAAAATCGGCTGAATGGATTCAAAAATGGTAAAACTCAACTGTTTACCTCTGGGGGAGTTGTAAAATGAGCCTATTTCCCCCAAAAAAGTGGAGTATCTCTTTAATTTTCCCAATGAACAGTTACTTTTATTTTTTTATTTTTAAATCTGCATTGCCACTCTTCACATTCAACCAATCAGACAACCAATCATTCAACATCCACCAAGTTTGAATAAATATGATATTATATATTATTATATTATATCATATTTTAAAAGCCTTCCTGATATATATTAGTATACATTTAATTTACTATAGTAATTAACACTGAGACAGTAATTTGTGCAAAAAGCACTAATGACTTGTTAAAGACTTGAAGCTTAAAGTCGAGGACTTGCAACTTGACTTGGACTTGTCTGTCTTGACTCGGGACTTGAATGCAAAGACTCGAGACTTACTTGTGACTTGCAAAACAATGACTTGGTCTCACCTCTGCTGATGGCTCAAGGACACACACTTTGAAATAGGCTCCAAGGTGCAAGCATTGAAATTTTTTATAAAACATTATCTCCTCGTAAACTTCGAGAAAACGATTTTGCATATTACGTTTAGTCTATAGGTATGCGCATTTGAATATGTATGTGCGCAGGCGTGTAGTCTCTCTTTACCAATTGACCTCAACAAATTGCTTGTCTGGCCTTAAAAATTTTGGTAACACTTTACGGTAAGGGTACGCGGATTATCATGAATTACTGTATAAATTCATGCATGAATATCTCATGAATCATCAGGAACTAAAAATGTTCAAAAACCAAAAGGGAGGAAAATGTGAATGCCTGGAATTGTGGTTGTTTTCCTGCAGAAATGGGAAGCGTGGTCAGGGCTGGGAGAGGAAGTACGTGTTGTTGGATGGATATAAAGTGATCACGTACGAGACAGAACCAAGAGACGGTCTGTGAATTTCTTGCTTATCCCATTTATAACAGATCAACAGTTCATCCCTGCTGGAAAATCTTGAATCAAACCTGCTTATGGTGGTCTTGCTGAAGGTTGGAGAGTAGTTGCTTGTGTTTTATCCTGACCTGGATGGTCTACTACAGTAAATCAACCATCTAGACATAGAGGTCTACCAACAATCCCAACCAGCCTGACCAGTGCAAACCAGGTTTTGATTTATGAAAACTTGCAGAAGTCATTTCTGAGCTGTTCATTTTATTTTATTTAATGTATTCATCATACTTTACCTTGTATGCTGGGATACACTTTGTCTAGCTGGGAATGACCATAAATGACCAGCTATAAGCTAGTTACCACCTTAATCAAGCTAGTGTGATGTATTTTCCAGCAGGGAATGTGTTAAACAGGTGTGTCTTGATGTGAATGATGTATAATCTGTCCTCTCAGAGTCGGTGAAGGCGCTCGATGAGTTTGAGTTGTGTCTCTCTGATGGAGAAGTGACTGTTCATTCTTCTGTCGGCGCCTCTGAGCTGCCCAACACTGCCAAGACAGGTGACTAACTTTCTGTGGATTTGCACTTAAAAAAGTGCAAAGGCTATTTACAATTGCCAGCCTTGTTGGCAGAGGCTATTTACACTAACTCCGCCCACTGACGTCTGATTGGGCCAGAACAAAAATTACGGAAGACGCTGGATCGACCTTAGTGTAGGGGAAGACACATGGCCGAAAGTTTTGACGCAAATCAACCCAAGTTCGAGTTCCCTTTTCCCATCATGCATCAGATTGTAAAAGTGTTTATTTTCAATAAAAATGAAGAAAATATTTGAAAAGTGGAAATACACGTTGTGTTTATCGGTTAGGGAGGGCTTTATTGTCCCAATAAGGTGGCATCCATTTAATCATTTTAATAAATATAAACATTTACTCTGCAAATAGTATTTGCCACTATTTATAAGTAGCACCTAATTACTTTTTACACTCATTGCAAAGAAAATTGGCCTACTGCTGTAGTTGAAATAATATCTATCACTATTTTCATGTAGTGTAATTAGAATCTATTGATACCTAAACTTAGCATATTTTCTTAGTGACAGATGCTATTTACACTATTTTCACTTCACAAGAATCTGGTAATGATTATTGGAGCACATTTGATAAGAAAATACTAGTCTTTTTGGTAAAACTTTACATTACGACCCGCAAACAACTGCGTAAGTAAACCGAAATTATGGTGTACGTTTCTGTAATTATAGTGTACTTCCGTGTAGGTATAAGGGAACAATATGTTAAGTTTTGGGTAATTAAGGGGTAACAAGCAGATATACAAGCAGATCTACAAGCAAATTATTTATAATTTAATTTATTTTAGAGCTAACAGGTACCTATTCTGTTAATATATTCCAGGCAAAAAATCTATGTCTGTTGTATATAAAAGTTTTTGTCACACACAAAAGTTTTTTTTCCATCACATTTTGACACTTCTGTGTGTTGTAAATTAAACATATATATAAATGGCTGTATGTAAGCACAGTATGATCAAAATTGAATTTATTGCCAAATTTATTATTTATTTTTATATTTGGGTAATAAAGAAGTTAACATATTAACATATTGTTCCCTTATACCTACACGGAAGTACACTGTCATTACAGAAACATACACTGTAATTTCAGTTATTTGTGGGTTGTGATATAAAGTGTTACCGTCTTTTTACACAAAAACGTAGTTTCCATTTCTTTGTAATTATTTGTGAAAATGTTTGTATGTGGATTCAGAAAGTACACTCTAAAAATGGTGAGTTGTTTTAATCCAATTTTGGGTCAAATATGGACAACCCCAGCCATTGGGTTAAAAATGTAATTTAAAAATGTAGCCCAATGGCTGGGTTTGTCCATATTTTACCCAAAATTGGGTTAAAACAACCCAGCATTTTTTAGAGTGCAGCCAATGTCTAGAGAAAGAAAGTGATTTCGTGTCCTCTAACCAGTGTTGGGTAAAAAAGTAGTCTAAAAAAGTAATTAATTACTAGTTAGTAATTACCTCTTCAACAGTGTAATTAGAATACTTTACTAATTACCCTCTCTAAAAAGTATTTAATTACTTTTAATTACCAATTACTTTAAAAATCCCATATCAATCTCAACCAGCTGAATAATAAAAGGATAGACATGAATCTGTTTTAATTCTTTCAAATAAATACTATAAAATTGCATGAATTATCCTTAAACTGACCGAGGTGGAGAAGGTTACATTATAAAATGTATACTTTTTACATACTTTTTAACATCAGACAATACATTTTGATGTTAAACCCACTATTGTTTTATGTCTGATCTCATGACATTTCACTATTTTCATACATATTTTACAATAATTCATACAAATTTGTACGAGTGCGGTCGTACGATTTAGACACCTCATAAAATGCATATGCATCGCTGTGAGATCGGATTGATACACAGTATTTACCTCAATTACATCAGAAGTAACTGTAATTAAATTACAGATAAATGAAGAGTAAATTACAGTAACTAATTACTTAATTAGTTACACCCAACACCGCCTCTAACATGGATATGTGTATGCGCTCAGATGTGCCGTACGTGCTGAAGCTGGAGTCGTCTCCTCAGTCGACGTGCTGGCCCGGGCAGACTCTGTACCTCATGACTTCAGGATTCTCCGAGAAACAGCGTTGGGTGGCCGTGCTGGAAGCCATCGTGGCCAGCAGTCGTGGAGCGAGAGAGAAAGCTGAAGCAGATGCTGTGAGTGAGAGGAACAGAAACACCACTCATTCTGACATTGAAAGAGTGTGTGACGTTACAGGGGGAAACTTAAGTCTGAAGTGTTCAGTATATCTTGAATCCACTGTGAGTGCATAAAATATAAAGCCTTATTGCTTTTTGGTTTTGAACAGAAATTGTTGGGTAACTCTTTACTGAAGCTAGAAGGAGACGACCGTCTGGATATCAACTGCACCCTCCCATTGACTGACCAGGTATCCGTGTCAATCCCCTAACTTTACTCTCAACCGGTTTGATTTTTCAAGGTTGTTTGTTGTAAAGTCATCGGGTTATCTTGTTTTTGTCATCAGATTGTGTTGGTAGGCTCAGAGGAGGGTCTCTACGCCCTGAACGTGATTAAAAACTCCCTCACTCACATCCCGGGACTGGGATCCGTGTTTCAGATCCACATCATCAAGGACCACGAAAAGCTGCTGATGATCGTGGGTGAGCAGAGATTTCAGAAACCAAAACTAAAGGATTATGACTTGCAACATGAACAAAAGTACCATGGTATTGCAATGTTGTTTTTTGGACATGATAATATCATGCATTTTTGTCCTGCACACCATTTTATTCCTGAAGCTCAAACAGTAGAGTAGAGCATGGTGCTTGCAACATCAAGGTCATGGGTTTGATTTCAAGGGAATGCATTAAGTAATAAAAAGCGTTAGATAAAAGCGTCTGGCAAATCCATAAAAAAATGCAAGGTTTATTCTCTTTTGAATGCATATTGTTAGCCTATTATCCAAAGCGACTTGTGAATTCAGGTCAAACAAATGATCAGTTTGTGGATTCCTTTGCGAATTCTTAGAATTACTTTTTTGAAAATACTTTAAAGGAGTAGTTCACTTTTTAAAAAACTTTTGCTGATAATTTACTCACCCCCATGTCATCCAAGATGTCCACGTCTTTCTTTCTTCAGTCGAAAAGAAATTAAGTTTTTGATGAAAACATTCCAGGATTTTTCTCCATATAATGGACTTCAATGGGGTCCAAACGGTTCAAGGTTTAAATGAGAGTTTCAGCGCAGCTTCAGAGGGCTTTAAACGACACCAGACGATGAATAAGGGTCTTATCTAGCGAAACGATCACTCATTTCAAAAATAAATAAAAAAGTTTAAGTTTTATAAGCTCAAATGCTCGCCTTGCTCTGTTCTGTGATGCGCGTTCATGACTTTCCTGTTCGGACTCGTTTATCAAAATGAACGAATCTTTTTTAGAATGATTTCGTTCGTTGAATGAACCAAATGACTCGAAAAAAGATTTGTTCAATTTGTTGAAGTCCGTTACATGGAGAAAAATCCTGGAATGTTTTCATCAAAAACCTTCATTTCTTTTCGACTGAAGAAAGAAAGACATGGACATCTTGGATGACATGGGGTGAGTAAATTATCAGTAAAAGTTGTTTTAAAAGTGAACTACACCTTTAATACAGTAATCACGCTAATCATTATCAAAATGCCTTGGCATCATTGCAGTAATGTTTTGCATGTGAAATAAGTGGATTGTGATGATGTGTTGTAGGGGATGAGCGTGCACTGTGTCTGGTGGAGATTAAGAAGGTGAAACAGTCTTTGTCCCAGTCTCACCTCCCCACACTGCCAGAGATTGTGCCGTATATCTTTGAGACCGTCAAGGGCTGTCATCTGTTTGCCACAGGCAGGGTAAGGCTGTGTGTTTCACTGCATTGCAACTTCCACTCTATTTTTAGTGCACTGGTTTGCATCATGCCGTTTGCGACACGTTTGCACCTTACACAGTATTTTGTGTCTACTCTCGCTTTAGATCGAAAATGGTCCATGCATTTGTGCCGCAATGCCCAATAAAGTCACCATTCTGCGATACAACGACAATCTGAACAAGTTCTGCATACGGAAGGCAAGTGACCGAGTCTTGAAGCAAAAGAACTCAAAATTTAGCAACGTTTGATGTGCTTTGCTCTTTAACTCCTTCACACGGACACACCTCTAATGATCCGTCTATTTATCTCTCAGGAGATCGAAACTCTCGAGCCGTGCAGCTGTATCCACTTCACCAGCTACAGCATCATCATTGGTACCAATAAATTCTACGAGATTGAGATGAAGCAGTGTGTTCTGGATGGTAGGTAGATGAGGGTCAGTCCTCAATCTCCTGTATCATTGTGGATGTAGATGTGATGGATCTGTAATTTCAAAAGTCATTTTCTCCACATTTGCATGTTCCAGTGCAGATGTCTGGTTGGACCGGCTGGCGGGCCATTTGTGAGAACATGACCAGGCACTTATAATTTGTAATTGTGCATTATGTAAACAGCGTTTTGCATGATGGGCTGTGTTTGGCAGAGTTCCTGGACAAGAATGACGTGTCGCTGGCGTCGGCTGTGTTCACTGGATCCTCCCATTGTTTCCCAATCTCCATCGTCCAGGTGTCCAGCACTCCGCAGAAGGAAGAATATCTGCTCTGCTTCCACGGTCGGACACCCATCACACCTTCGACACTACAGACATCTCCTATTGCATGAAAATAATAAAGCAATAGTTGAGATCATTATTTACTCACTGTTCATGTTGTTCCAAACACATATTCAGCTGTTTTGTCCTGTAATCTATGTATGAATTATGCCTTTAAAAAAAGCACATGTTGATTACTTTGCATATATATATATATATATATATATGAAGAGTTCAGATGCAAAAGCCTCTAAATGCCATTTGAAATTTTCTTCTAAAATGATAATTTTTGTCAAGCTTGTATATTTAAGTTCAGTAATTTAACTTAAATGGCAATGAAGATTACCTATTAATTGTCATTTAAGTGAAATTACTGAACTTAAAAATACAAGCTTGATAAAAATGGTCATTTTAGAAGAAAATTTCAAATGGCTGAACTCTTCATATATATATATATATAATACATTAAAGTAGAATAAAGTATGTATTGCTGTTTTATTGAATACTCAGTTTTCTCTCTGTGCAATGCTTGACTTTACTTTGCATTGTCAGTGTGGCTAATGAAATGAAATCAACCTATTTGTTTGATTAGCCAAAAGTTAAGACAAAACCAACAAACTTTGATTAAAGATACAAAATAACTATTTATATTAGTCATAAAACATTATTTATAACTGAAATAAATGTGGTATTTTGAGTTTTTCTCCAATTGTATTTATAATTGGATGCTGCCAGCTGCAGAATTAAACATTAAATGTGACGAAAATGCAACATGCTACATTATGAAACATATTTTTTTACATTTTTATTGTTTTATTTGTACAGCTGCAAACTCCATATTTTAGAAATAGTGGGAAGTATACAGCTATAGCAGTCAGAGTTCCTAGATGAAAAATACAATTAAAAACTCTTAATTTGTATTGATTTTTTTTTACACTGTTTTCTATTCAATTTCTGATAACAGAGATCGGTGTGTTCGTGGATGCTTATGGTCGAAGAAGTCGCCCTGATGATCTCAAGTGGAGTCGACTTCCCCTGACATTCGGTTAGCCATTCTTCTTTTTTTGACAAATCCAAAAGTGCAAAATGTAAAAATGATCATCTTCAGTATGGATGCACTGATCATTTTTTTTTTTCATTTTTATTTATTTTTTACAAGCAAATTGGCCAGTTCCAATACTGTATTTTTTAGTTTTCTTCCTTTAAGGAAATGTATTTGTTGTTTATTTGCTCTATAACAGACCAAGCCTAAACATATGTAAGCAATAAGGTACGAGAGGCTGTGCTGTATCGTGAATAAGTAACTGAAGGGCTTTGTTAGGCTCGACGCGAAGCGGAGTAACCCCTTCAGCCGTTACTGATTCACGATACAGCACTTGCCTCGAGCACCTTATTGCTTTTATAAAATGATTAACACACAATAAAAATACTAAAGTAATAAAAAAAACATGTATTAGTGCAACTTTTATGAAGTAAAATCACTAAAAGCCTTCCTTCCGCTAGAAAAAATAGTCCCTGACCGTGAACAGCAACAACGCTCCAATGTGTAATATGCATGAAAGCTCAAATAAAAACAACATAGGAACTGCAGTATTGCGCAGTGATGCATAGAGCCGTTGGGTGAACCGGTCATAGCCATGTTTAATCGTGAATGAAGCACAGCTATTGACCAATCAGAATCAAGGATTGGAACTAACCGTTTTATATATATATATCAGTAGCCATTTGATAGAAGAAGCAACTACTGCATTTAATCATGACCCAAAGACAGATGCTGCAAACATGCTGAATGAGGAGTTGTTGTCCGTCTTCAGCGTTAATGTCCTGTTTATAGACATCGTAATATTTCCACACAAAATACATTTTGGTAAATGATTGCAATGCAGTTTGTGTGCAAGTCTGGAATAGAGATAGATTGGCCCCCCAAAAAACTATTTATGTCCATTCGACCGTGCATCTCTAAGCTCACTGAAGCGTCTGTTTCCAGCTTTCAGAGAGCCGTATCTGTTTGTGACCAACTTCAACTCGCTGGATGTGATTGAGATTCAGGGACATGCAGCTCTTGGGTAGGACGACAGAAACACTGCATGCATATAAGATACCAAACTAACATTAGGACTTGAGAGTGAAACTAAATCCCCTTTGAAACAGGCCTCCCAGTTTCGCTCACCTGGACATTCCTAACCCCCGTTACCTGGGACCGGCCATATCGTCTGGCGCCATCTATCTGGCCTCGTCCTACCAGAACAAGCTGCGGGTCATTTGCTGTAAGGGTAGTCTGGTGAGAGAGTCTGGGGAACTGCAAAGGACCGGCTCCAGCAGGAGGTGCGGGTTATTTACCACAATATATTAAACTTACCGTCCCGCTTTGAAATATCGTTGAATGAGTTCTTATATGGAGATGGTTCAGGTGTGTTTTATGTGAATTAATTACCCTGGACACGCCAAATTCATCAATACTCAAACGAGGTTAAAAGATTGATGAGTGTATACATGTGTTTTCCCGAGAAGTTAAAATGTATGTATAAATACGAATAATGTACGCAATTATTATTGAATGAGATTCAGTGTTTTTCCATTTTGGTTCATTCTGAGGAGAAAACAGAGAGCCGGAAACATTCAAATACAATGAACAATAATGTTGTAACCTGAACATACAATTTGTGTATTTATGTACTTGAAAAATGACAAGACATGTTTGCTAGATCTATAATCTCACATGATTGCCACAGTGTTATCTGTACCGTGTTATGATCATATATTATGTGATATTATAGTATTAGTATGTATTACTATTTTGAATGATCTTTTATTTTTAGATTTTATTTTTAATTTAAGTTTAATCATTTTTTTATTGAACTTTTGCCTTTCATTTATTAGTTTTTTTTGTTTTTGGGGTTTTTTCTCGTAATTTTAATATTTCAACGTGGACTTATTTTATTTCACTTACTAGCCATGGCAACATTTCCAAGTTTTTCATCTAATATTTCTATTTTATTTTACTTCAGTCTTATTTCATTTAACAATATACATTTTTTAAATTTTTAGGTAACAATAACAGCACAGGTACTGGACAGATGAACTCCTTCCTGCCGTAAAAGCAAACAGGCAATGAAAGGATTCAGCCAATAGCAAGTGATGTAATTTTGTTAAAAAAACATTCAATCTGAAACGGTTGCAACAATTTTCTTTCATGTTCTGCCAAAAGTTACTTTTTTATTCCATTCCTAATCCAGCAAAAATGAATGTCCGTTATAATATTGCTGCTCCTTTCATTGTTTAAAAGCAATCTAATATTTGAGCTTGTGCATTTCAGTGATCTTCCCACGGTTCAAGGGACTCTCGCTGAGAACATCCCTGACCTGTGGAAACATCACACCACGCGTTGAGTTGCTTAAAGGGATAGTTCACCCAAAAATGAAAATTAGCCCATGATTTAGCCTACATACTCACCCTGAATCCATCCTAACGGTTTTCTTTCAGACGAATACAATCAGTTGTCCTGCCTCTTCCAAGCTTCATAACTCTGTATAACTCGGGGGTTTTTGTTTTTGGAAATCCTTCAAAGCGCATCCATCCCTGATAAAAGTGCTCCACGCGGCTCTGCGGGGGTTAATAACGGCCTTCTGAAGCGATGCGTTCGTGTAAGAAAAATATTCATATTTAAAACTTTATCGACTAAAATAACTAGCTGAAGATCTACGCAAGTCGACTTGCGCCAAAAGAGTAACACTTGAACTTGACACACAATGTAATGACGAACGCGGTTGCCCAGCCATGTGTGTTTGAACCACGAGAGGCGTCAAAGCTTACGCTACTCCTACATCTGTGACATACATCATCCAGTGTTACTCTTTTAGCATAAAGCCCCATTCACGCTACAGTCGCCAGTGGCTGCGCAGGAGGGCGTTCCCACTACTGGTTATCTAGTAATGTTTGTGAGTTACAAAGTCCTTTCTGGCAAGTCGTGCCACTCGGCCGCCATCTTGGCAGCACCTCCGGGCAGCTATTTCGGACTAACAAGACCAGGCTCCTATCTAAATGAATGGGCAGAGAGTCAGAACTGCACTTTTACTGGTCACCGGGACATAAAAACTGCTTGTATAGAAACAGCAGTAAAATATGATAAAAATCGCTAAAAAAGTTTGATGACTTTGCCCCAAAATAAGGTTTAAAAGGCCCCTTTTCCCACAGGTTATACGTTTAATCGCAAACCTCAATGTCAGCGGAACCAGACGATAGGCTTAAATGTTTCCCGGCTTGACTGTTAAAAGCAGACGATTGGCTTTCCAGCGGGAGGGGCGGGGCATGTGCATACAACCGCCATCTTTGGCGTTATTGAGGATTTCATCAAAAACCTTAATTTCTTTTCGACTGAAGAAAGAAAGACGTGGACATCTTGGATGACATGGGGGTGAGTAAATTATCAGCAAAAGTTTTTTTTTTTTTTTTACGTGAACTACTCCTTTAACCCCCGCAGAGGCGTTTTATCATGGATGGATGCACTTTGAAGAACTTCCAATAAATATACCCATTGACTCCCATTATAAAGCTTGGATTTTTTAACATAACTCTGATTGTATTCGTCTGAAAGAAGAACGTCATATCAACCTAGGATGGCTTCAGGGTGAGTAAACCATGGGCTAATTTTCATTTTTGGGTCAACTATCCCTTTAATGCTTGAATATTTCACACATGCGTTTCCGTGCCTCATGCATTTACCCAAATCAGCCATTAATCTGACCTCCACAGCAGCCCAAACAAGCGTGGGCCGCCCACGTACAACGAGCACATCTCCAAACGCCTGGCCTCGGGTCCCGGGGCCCAGGAGGGGCCGCTTCACCGTGAGCCGAGCACTCCTCACCGCTACCGCGAGGGGCGTACCGAGTTCCGGCGGGACAAATCTCCGGCCCGGCCTCTGGAGCGCGAGAAATCCCCCGGTCGAGCTGTGCTAGACAGCCGAAGAGAGCGCTCGCCCGGGCGCTTCGAGAGCAGCGGCAGCGAGAGAGACCGAGAGCGCTCGCGGCTTCACACTAGCTCTGTACGCACCCAGCTGACGCCCGTCAACAAGGTACGCACGAGACACTGCCACGTAAACTGTGTATCCTTCTAGGGATGCAAACCTCAGGTTTGACGATGTTCATGCATTCACAAATGCTGCTTAGTTAAATTCCTTCTAGTTATGGCCTCAAGCAGTTAATGCCCAGTCTCTGGGAAAGTCAGCATCGTTTGCAGCAGTAATGATGTTTCTGCGTCAGACAGGGAAGTGACCTCTTTATCCTGGTGGTGGTGTAGGTTTGGGACCAGTCTTCAGTCTGAGAACGTCCCGGAGGGATGACGTCCACTTCCAGCGTGGATTTAACAGGCGCTCCGTAAAACTCTGAACTGTCTCATCTTCTCATGCCTGTAACCGTGAACCGAGCCATGTCGTGTCACTCGAGTCTGGGACGTTGTGCTGCTGATGTTGTCAAATCTGTCCACGCTGTAACCATTCATGAAGGTCCATTGTGAACTTGAAGGAGTATCTCGGGCTCTTTAATAGCATTTCCTGGCATAATCACAGAAAATCATTTTAACTCTTCCATTACTTTATTTGGAGTAAAAATGGTGGTTACAGTAATACATTTACAATGGGACTTTATGAAGACTCTACAGGCAAAACCCATGGCTTTGTAACTACTTATACTGTAGGCTACTAACTAGGATACTAAAAATACATTTGATATAGGAAGCATCCTTAAAAACAAACTGTTCATCCTGTTCTACTAAAACTATACTAAACTTGCACGTTTTATTCATATTTATTTACTGAAGGTAAATGTTCATATAGTATTTGTAAAACATGGTGAAAATATTGTTGAAAATCTTACATGAATGAAACAAGAATCTGGCTTTTTCCAGTGTTCGTATTTCTGTAATATTTAAATAGATAATGGCTCTTTTTGCATATATAACCATGACTTTCAGAAAACATAATAAAACACTCCGCCGTCCATTTGCTGGCTGGGACACTGTGTTATTTATTCTTCATGTAAATTCTGGTATCCCACATTTACTGGCTTTACATAATCATAAGTTATGTCATTGGATAAATAACTGCACTGTCGAGTTTAGCTTGCATTAAAAACGTACTTTCATTGTATTTTACTGTAACCACCATTTTAGTTTAGAAAAAATTATGATCTGTGGTAATCACAAACCACAAATGCTGTAGATTTATATTGAACCCGAGATATTCCTTTAACCCCGTGATTAGCACATTGTAAATATGGTGATTTCAACTTTTATAGCTAAACGGAACTTGACTGATAAGCAATGAAGTCTATTTTTATGCTAATTAAACTGTTTCGACAGTTGAAATGGGTTTCCTACAGAAAAGTACAGAAGAGGTTTATTCCCTTTGTGTTGTATGCTAATGTGGTAAACAGTCAATTTGGCTGCTCTTGTTTTTTAAGATATATTTGACTGACATTGTCGAACCTACTGCACATTGTATATTTTTATGCTAATAGAGTTTGAGCTTGTAAATCTTTTCAAGGAGACACGTCATGTTCTCGCTACAAGTGTCCTTGTGATGTTCAAGTGAACTTATCGTATTTTGTTGGAAATAACGAAGCTTTCGTCGACACACAGGAGGCTCTTCTGGAAATGTCTGCTTCCTTTCGCGTTAACGGATGTCCTGTTGAGCTGTGTGATGATGATGATGATGATGATGATAGAAGACCTGTCGTTCCTCAAGCTCAGTTAACGGCATTTCGAGTTCATGGGTAATTGTAACTAAACACCTGAGTGATCCTATCAAACGCATGATAAATCTGACTTGGGACGTCCCGTTATGTACTAACAAACGTTACCTTATATTGATAATCGATGTTTTTCAACCTAAGGCTGCTTACCTTGAACTTTCTTTTTTGTATAAAGAAATTACACTATTAAAGTATGAGCCATACACTGTATTCTTAGTGTGGAGTCTTTTTTTGTTGTTGTCAGAACTACTTTCAATCCATTAAAGGAGTAGTTCACTTTAAAAAAAAAAACTTTAGCTGATAATTTACTCACCCCCATATCTAGGACCCTTCGAGTCATGACTCGAAATAAGATTTGTTCATTGTGATGAACGAGTTCGAACAGGAGAGTCACGAACGCGCATCACAGAACAGAGCAAGGCGAGCATTTGAGCTTATAAAACTTAAACTTTTTTATTTATTTTTGAAATGAGTGATCGTTTCGCTAGATAAGACCCTTATTCATCGTCTGGTGTCGTTTAAAGCCCTTTGAAGCTGCGCTGAAACTTTGAACTGTTTGATACCCATTGAAGTCCATTATATGGAGAAAATGCTGGAATGTTTTCATCAAAAACCTTAATTTCTTTTCGACTGAAGAAAGAAAGTCATGGACATCTTGGATGACATGGGGGTGAGTAAATTATCAGCAAAAGTTTTTTTTTAAGTGAACTACTCCTTTAACTATTCATCATCAGAGTCCAACGATTGGGATTGAGGGATTACATTTCAAAACCATAAGTTTTAACTTTTAATTGTTGCCATGTTATTTCTGAGCATTGTTCTGCCAGCATTAAATATACAATATGCCTACTTTATCTATAAATGTGCACCATTTGTAATATAAATATAGAACATATACAGCCAGTACAGCTGTAATTGAAAAAGACAATGCTCTTCATCACCGTTTTAATGTAATGTAATGTAATGCTACAGAATGTCAGAGAAAGTTTTTTTGCACCGAAAAAGTTTTTTTTCGGGGCGAAATTTTGAGTTTCATCTTCTTGAAACTCTGGATTTTGATAGAGGGCCATGAGACTTAGACCTGAGTGCAAAAATGGAGTCTCTAGACCCTTCCTGAGCCAAGATATTGAGATCCCACATAGCATTTTTGCCATTATAAATATGTTAATATCTCAGCTCTGAAAGGGTCTAGAGCCTCCATTTTTGCACTCAGGTCTAAGTCTCATGGCCCTCTATCAGAATCCATAGTTTCAAGAAGATTAGAGAAACTTATTTTTTCGCACCAAAAAAAAAGGGGTAACACTGTCGTTTTGTTCGGGGAAAAATTTTGAGTTTGTCTGATCTTCTCAAAACTCTGGATTCTGATAGAGGCCCATGAGACTTAGACCTGAGTGCAAAATGGAGGCTCTAGACCCTTCCAGAGCTGAGATATCGAAACTCAAAATTTCGACCCGAAAAAAAAACGACAGTGTTACCCCTTACGTTTTTTTCAGTTTTCGGGCGAAAAATCAAGTTTCTCCAATCTTCTCAAAACTCTGGATTATGATAGAGGGTCGCGAGACTTCGACCTGAGCGCAAAAATGGAGGCTCTAGACCCTTCCAGAGCTGAGATATCGAAACTCAAAATTTCGACCCGAAAAAAAAACGACAGTGTTACCCCTTACGTTTTTTTCAGTTTTCGGGCGAAAAATCAAGTTTCTCCAATCTTCTCAAAACTCTGGATTATGATAGAGGGTCGCGAGACTTTGACCTGAGCGCAAAAATGGAGGCTCTAGACCCTTCCAGAGCTGAGATATCGAAACTCAAAATTTCGACCCGAAAAAAAAACGACAGTGTTACCCCTTACGTTTTTTTCAGTTTTCGGGCGAAAAATCAAGTTTCTCCAATCTTCTCAAAACTCTGGATTATGATAGAGGGTCGCGAGACTTTGACCTGAGCCGCAAAAATGGAGGCTCTAGACCCTTCCAGAGCTGAGATATCGAAACTCAAAATTTCGACCCGAAAAAAAAACGACAGTGTTACCCCTTACGTTTTTTTCAGTTTTCGGGCGAAAAATCAAGTTTCTCCAATCTTCTCAAAACTCTGGATTATGATAGAGGTCGCGCGAGACTTTGACCTGAGCGCAAAAAATGGAGGCTCTAGACCCTTCCAGAGCTGAGATATCGAAACTCAAAATTTCGACCCGAAAAAAAAAACGACAGTGTTACCCCTTACGTTTTTTTCAGTTTTCGGGGGCGAAAAATCAAGTTTCTCCAATCTTCTCAAAACTCTGGATTATGATAGAGGTCGCGAGACTTTCGACCTGAGCGCAAAAATGGAGGCTCTAGACCCTTCCAGAGCTGAGATATCGAAACTCAAATTTCGACCCGAAAAAAAAACGACAGTGTTACCCCTTACGTTTTTTTCAGTTTTCGGGCGAAAAAATCAAGTTTCTCCAATCTTCTCAAAACTCTGGATTATGATAGAGGGTCGCGAGGACTTTGACCTGCAGCTCAAAAATGGAGCTCTAGACCCTTCAGAGCTGAGATATCGGAAACTCAAAATTTCGACCCGAAAAAAAAAACGACAGTGTTACCCCTTACGTTTTTTTCAGTTTTCGGGCGAAAAATCAAGTTTCTCCAATCTTCTCAAAACTCTGGATTATGATAGAGGGTCGCGAGACTTTGACCTGAGCGCAAAAATGGAGGCTCTAGACCCTTCCAGAGCTGAGATATCGAAACTCAAAATTTCGACCCGAAAAAAAAACGACAGTGTTACCCCTTACGTTTTTTTCAGTTTTCGGGCGAAAAATCAAGTTTTTCCAATCTTGTCAAAACTCTGGATTATGATAGAGGGTCGCGAGACTTTGACCTGAGCGCAAAAATGGAGGCTCTAGACCCTTCCAGAGCTGAGATATCGAAACTCAAAATTTCGACCCGAAAAAAAAACGACAGTGTTACCCCTTACGTTTTTTTCAGTTTTCGGGCGAAAAATCAAGTTTCTCCAATCTTCTTTCAAAACTCTGGATTATGATAGAGGGTCGCGAGA